ATCCACCCATCATTCGTCCCTCCGTTGTCTACCCATCCATTCATCCAGCCCGCCAGCCATTCATCTAACCACCCTCCATCCATCAATCCACCCGTCATCCATCATCTATCCATCTGTCCATCACCTCCCTAAGTGTCCTTCCCTCTTTTATTTCTCTGTCCACCCATCCATCCTTCCATTCACTCAACAGAATCAGAAAACTCCAGTTGAGTCCACTGCATCCATTGTGAGTCTAGGCATGTGGCAAGCAGCCCCCATCTCCTATGGGGCTTATATGGTGAACAGGGTCATCATGACCCCTGCTCACCTGTGCTGACTCCCCTTGGAGAAGTCCCTGCCACTTGTGCTCCTTCCTTTGCAGGAGTGAGCAGGGGACATAGCAGGGATGATGCGAAAGGCCACTAGCCCACCTGCTGGGTCACGATTGATCCCCTCTGTGGGGTGCTTCTGCAGGGTTGCCAGGGTGATTGGCATGTTAAAATGAACACGTGAGGGAGTGAATGCCCCAGTCCCAAGTCACCTACTGGCCACAGGCCTGGAACTAGAATGTCCCTCCGTGGTTCTGTGTCTCCCAAGTCCTGGAGAGGAGGGGTTTGTCTCAGCAGGAGCCCAGGAAGGGGAGAAAGGCCCCTGAGCATTGAAGATTCCAGTGATCGCTCAGCAGCGTGGGCGGGGCTTCGGCTCAGCTTCCACTTTTGTCCTTTACTCTAGATGCAAGGTTCTCACACCTTTCAGTCTTGGGAACCCTCCACACTCTAATTTATGTGGAGTTTTTAATGTTTATTTTCTTGCATGTAACATTGGGATGGGCTGGGCGTGGCGGCCCATGCCAGTAATCCCAGCATTTTGGGAGACCGAGGTGGGCAGATCACCTGAGGGTCAGGAGTTCGAGACCAGCCTGGCCAACATGGTGAAACCCTGTCTCTACTAAAAATTCAGAATTAGCCAAACGTGTTGGCACATGCCTGTAATCCCAGCTACTCGGGAGGCTGAGGCAGGAGAATCGCTTCAACCTGGAAGGCAGAGGTTGCGGTGAGCCAAGATCATGCCATTGCACTCCAGCCTGGTCAACAAGAGCAAAACTCCATCTCAAAAAAAGAAAAAAAAATTATTGGAAGCCTTGGCTGGGCACAGTGGCTTGAGCTTGTAATCCTAGCACTTTGGGAGGCTGAAGCAGGTAGATCACCTGAGGTCAGGAGTTCAAGATCAGCCTGGCCAACCAGCCTGGTTTCTTCAACAGAGAAACCCTGCATGCCTATAGTCCTAGCTATTTGGGAGGCTGAGGCAGGAGAATCACTGGAACCCGGGAGGCAGAGGTTGCAGTGAGCTGAGATTACACCTCTGCATTCCAGTCTGGGTGACAGAGTGAGATTCTGGCTCACACAAAAAAAAAAAAAAAACTACTGAAGGCCTTAAAGAGCTTTTGTGGATTACCTCTGTTTATATTTATTGCATTAGAAATAAAAACTGGCCAGGCGCGGTGGCTCATGCCTGTAATCCCAGCACTTTGGGAGGCGGATCACGAGGTCAGGAGTTTGAGATCAGCCTGGCCGTCATGGTAAAACCCCGTCTTTACTAAAAAAAAATACAAAAACTAGCCAGATGTGGTGGCGCACGCCTGTAATCCCAGCTACTAGGGAGGCTGAGGCAGGAGACTTGCTTGAACCTGGGAGGTGGAGGTTGAAGTGAACTGAGACTGCCACTGTGCAGTCTCAGACTGGAATGCAGAGGTGTAATCTCAGCTCACTGCAACCTCTGCCTCCCGAGTTCCAGTGATTCTCCTGCCTCAGCCTCCCAAATAGCTAGGACTATAGGCATGCAGGGTTTCTCTATTAAAGAAACCAGGCTGGTTGGCCAGGCTGATCTTGAACTCCTGGGCGACAGAGTGAGACTCCAACTACATACAAAAAAAAAAAAAAAAAAAAAAACCCACTATTGATTAGCAATGTCTGCCATGCGTGCAGGAGGGAGAGTAACTGCAGTGTGCTGGGATCGAGGAATGATGCCTACCACAGATGCAGAAGCACTGGGGACAGCCTGGGTGGCCCCTGTAGGTCTCAGCTGAGGCCCCTGGGGCTCTGTATGCCAGCTGGCCGCTGTCCTTGCCGACTTCTTCCTCTGGGTTTCTCTTCCCGCAGGTGTTCATTGAGGATGTCAGCAGGGAGTTTGTGGAGGAGTTCATCTGGCCGGCCATCCAGTCCAGTGCACTGTATGAGGACCGCTACCTCCTGGGCACCTCTCTCGCCAGGCCCTGCATCGCCCGCAAACAAGTGGAAATCGCTCAGCGAGAGGGGGCCAAGTATGTGTCCCACGGTGCCACGGGAAAGGTGAGGTACCCGAGAAGGGCCGGGCAGAGGGAGATGGAGGTGGAGGGGCGTGGGACGGAGATGCGCACCCCTCATCAGACAGACTTGGTGGAGGCAGCTGCTTGGTTTAGACCCCAGTGAGGGGGCAGCAGCTTGCCCTGCGCTCCATGCACCATGGGGCCTGAAGCCCGTGCTGTATCCTCACCTCCACCCTTTGCTGTGGGAACGATGCTACCCCACTTGGCAGACTTGCTGCTGAGGCCTGGGAAGGCTGTCACTGGCCAAGGTCACAGCACAAGTCCCCGGGGGACACACAGGAAAGTGTTGGGAACCCAGAGTTGTCAGAGTGGGGTTCAAAGCCAAGCTCATCAGCTGCCGGCTCACCAGGTGTTCTCAGCCGGGGACCTTCCCCCCTTCCTGAACCCGTTTCTTCCTTTGTAAGATGGGGGTCATGCCCTGTCTCAGTTTCCCAGGGCTGGGGTAACAAAATGTCTCACACTGGTGGCTTAGAACCTACAACTATTCCCCCTCGAGGCTCTAGAGGCCTGAGGTCCGCAGTGCGGGCATGGGGGGGGTGGCGCTCAGCCTCTGAAGGCACCGGGAGGCCTCCCGGCTCAGGCCTCTCTCCAGCTTCCAGTGGCCTCTGGCGTCCCTTAGCGTGCGGCCGCATCCCGCCCGCCCTCCCATCCTCTCGTCCTCCGTCTTCCCAGGCTGTCTTCCCTGTGTCTTCCCACCTTCTTCCCTCTGTTCACCTTCCCCCTTGCCATGGGACCCCACTCTTGGATTAGGGCCCCACAATGACCTCATCTTAACTTGGTTACTTCTTTTTTTGAGACAAGAGCTCTGTCTCCCAGGCTGGAGTGCAGTGGCTTGATCTTAGCTCATTTCAACCTCTGCCTCCCCGGTTCAAGCAATTCTCCTGCTGCAGCCTCCTGAGTAGCTGGGATTACAGGCACCTGCCACCACACCCAGCTAATTTTTGTATTTTTAGTAGAGACAGGGTTTCACTCTGTTGGCCAGGCTGGACTCAAACTCCTGGCCTCAAATGATCCACCAGTCTCGGCCGTCCAAAGTGCTGGGATTACAGGTGTGAGCCACTGCGCCCGGCCTTCACCTGGTCACTTCTGTCAAGACCACACAAGGCCACATTCAGAGGGACTGGAGTTAGGACTTGAACTTATCATTTTGTGGGAACACAAATCAACCTGTCCACACCCCTTCCCTCTGGGCCGTGTGTCCCGGTGCAGACTGCGGGGACCCTGTGGGGTGCAAGACAGGAAGCCCGCTGCCTGCTGCTCTTTGGAAGGAAGTCCTCGAGAAACCAGATTTCTTTTTATTTATTTATTTATTTATTATTTTTAAAATATTTATTTATTTATTTATTTATTTATTATAAGACGGGGTTTCACCATGTTGGTCAGGCTGGTCTTAAACTCCAGACCTCAGGTGATCCGCCCGCCTTGGCCTCCAAAGTGCTTGGATTACAGGCGTGAGCCACCACGCCCGGCAGTCAGAAGGCTTGGAACCTCCCCAGTGACCGGAGCTCACTACCTCGCCTGCCCCGGGCTGGTCAGGGTGCCGATGGTGGGAACGGGTCCTGGGACACATGTAGCTAGGATGATGATGGTGGAGACACCATGTGACGGTGGCCTTGCAGACAGCCACCCACCAGGATGGCACCAGTCATGTTGTTTCTTCACTGGAGCACTGGTTCAGCAGGCTTGCACTGGTTATCTGCTGGGAGGTGAGCACTTGCTGGCACGGGTGCAGTGCTGACTTTCTTGGCCTCATGGCCTACCCTCAGAGAGCCCGTGTCCTAGCAAGAGAAGAGCAGGTGGATGTGTGATGAGGAATGGGGGGTCTGCCAGGGAGCTGCAGGGGCAGCAGGCAGGGGCTGAGGACAAGTCTAGAGGAGTGCACAATGGTGTGGAAGCGTGTGCCAGGCACAGGGAACAGCCTGTGCAAAGGCTGAGAGTGAAGAGGCCCCAAAGGACGGTCAGTCTGGGGTTCTGGAGAGGGAGCTATTGCCCTGGAGGAGGCAGTAGGGCCAGGACTGGGCGGAGGCCATGCTGGGAGGTTTGACTTCATCCTGAGGGCATTCGATTAGGGAGCAGAAGGGGGTCTCAGGTTGGGTGGGGGTGGCCAGTGACTCCCCCGCGGGATGTTGGGGAAGAGGCTGCAGAAAGCTTCTCACACAGACTGTGGCTTTGGTTTTCCCTGTCACTCCAGCTGTGGGTGATGGGATGACGATGACAGGAAACCAGGCAAGGAGGCTGGGACGGACCTGGGCTATTGGGCAGGGTCGTGTGTGTGCTGCCATCCGTGCAAAGCTTGGGGCAGAGGAGGAGGGCACAGGAGGGAGAACGCAGAGGTTCCGGATTTGGGACGGGGACCTGCATGGCTGTGTGCGCATCCTGGCTCCGCAGCTTCCATCTTGTGTGACTTGAGTTTCAACTTCCTTGTCTACAAAATGGGAATGAAAATAGAACCCAGGTCATGGGGTGGTTAGGGAGCTGTCTCCAATCAAGCGCTCGGCATTGGCCTGGCACATATGCAAGAAGGAAGCGTCCTGATTGTGACATTACCAGACTGGTTCCGGGGGCATAGGAAGGCCCATTGACAGCATATAGTGTGGGATGTATGCTCTAGAGAAAAAAGCTCCCAGCTGGGCTCGGTGGCTCACGTCTGTAATCCCAGCACTTTGGGAGGCCAAGGCGGGCAGATCACGAGGTCAGGAGTTGAAGACCAGCCTGACCAACATGGTGAAACCCCATCTCTACTAAAAATACAAAAATACATGGTGGCACATGCTTGTAATCACAGCTACTTGGGACGTTGAGGCAGGAGAATCACTTGAACCTGGAGGCAAGGTTGCAGTGAGCCAAGATCAAGCCACTGCACTCTAGCCTGGGAGACAGAGCGAGACTCCGTCTCAAAAAAAAAAAAAAGCTCTCGACCCATCTGGCCTAATGGAATGAGCTGGGGAGTGAGCTCCCTGTCCCAGGAGGCATGCAAGCCTAGGTCAGTGGATCAGAATTCTGAGAGGGGTCCTGCCCTGAGAAGGTCTTTTCAACAGTACCATTAAGGTTCAGTAGGGTGGCATTCAGGGCTGGTGAAGTGCATGGGTGGGTGAGTGGGTGAGTGTGGGTGGGTCTGCTCTGGCTCGGGTAGTTCCCGGGTTCAGGCCGGGACGCCCACCCCAGATCAGCCCACATACGGCCTGGAATAGCCGCCTGCAGCCGTGTGCGCCACTCCGTGCGGCCACCTGAGGGCGCCAGAGGCCTGAGTTTGAGGCCGTATTGGCCGACGGAGGTGGGAGGAGGCGGCAGCGCGGCGGGGACCCTCTGATCACCATCCTGGTCCTGCGGGGTGTGGTTCTGAGAACGTCCCCCGACCAGGTAATGCTGCGGCCACTCCGGATTGGGAGCGTCCCAGCATTCACACTCAAGGGGACCCTAGAGGGACGGACTCTGGGAGCAGGTGCTACCCGGCACGGCCCTCTTTCCTGGGGTTGACAGGCAAGGTACACTTCTGTGCCTCAGTTTCCCTTTATAACAGCACTCAGCAAGCCAACAGCCTCTGGAGAGAATTTCCGAGAACTGGGGGTGAGAGTGGGGATGCAGGAAGGCTGGTGGGGGGTGGGATCCAAGGGCTTGGAAGTGCTGGTCCAGCTTGGAGGCATTTACCCCTGAGCACCTCCAACCCGTGAGCATCCTGCTGACCCCGTGGGTATCCACCCAGCACCGCCCCGGGCACCATCATGGGACGGCCAGGCGGAGGCCCTCGGGTCTTTGGGCTCAGGGAAGGTGACAGGGAAATGTCGGGGGGGAGCACGCATTGGCCTGGGGTTGGAGGGGGAAGGGCATCCAGGCCGCAAGAACAGCCTGAGCCCAGCCTGGAGGCAGAGGCCGAGGCAGCCTCCCTCCCAGTGCCCGCCAGACAGCACCTGGTGCAGAAACCGAGCCACCCTCTCCTGTCCCGTCCCTTGTGGCCAGCCCCACCCCTGCCCACCCAGAGAGCCGCTAAGAAGCTGGGTGGCCCTTGCGGGGCTCCTGTCTCCCCCGAGTTTTGGAAGAGGGCCTGGAAATCTGATTCTGAGACTCTGGCGGGGGAGCAGGAGTTTTGTAAATGGCACCATCTGTATGGCTGCCCCAGGGCAGACGGGAGACCCCGGCCCCCCAGTCCCAGCGGGCCCGTGTTTACACACATGTTTACACATGTGTGCACAAATAGCATGTGGACACTCGTATGTGAGAGATGTTACTGTCCCCTTGTCCTGGGAAGCACTGGGAGCTGCCCTGGGGGTGGCGTCTTGTGGTGGCCTCCTTGGCACTTGCCTGAGAGGAGGGCAGAGTTTGAACCAAGGAGGCGTTTGTTTGGCGTCTTCAAGGATCTCTGGCTCCTGAACAGATGGGGGTCCCCACAGCAGCGTCTGGAGGGGCCGAGCCTGGCTGGCTGGCGAGGCACAAGCCGTCTTTGTGTTGTGGAAACTTGAAGCTGTAGAGGGGGAATAGCTGGCTGAGCAACATCGGACCCGCCTTACGGTCCAAAACCAGGCTGCCTTTTAGTTCCTCCAGGAACGGGCCGACCTAGGGTCTGCAGGCAAATGTGACCGCCCCCACCTCAGCGTCCCCATCCCTAAGATGGGGCTGATAGAACCTGCCTCCTGGGGCTGCTGGAGGGATTCAGTGAGTTCATTATGCACGGAGCTCAGCCTGCCGCCTGAGTATGAACTATTAGGACGATCGTGTTTGCTGTGTGGCCCTGGGCAAGTGGCTGCACCTCTCTGAGCTTCACTTTCCTCATCCATAAAACAGGGCTAAACAGCTCCCCTGGCCCTGGGGGCTGTCTGAGTGACAGCACGTAGTAGGTGCTCACTAAAGGGGCTGCGTGGAGGGTGAGTGAGGTCAGCCCACAGGGCTCCAGGCTCTGCGGAGAGTTGATGCCACCTGACGGGAGCCTGGAAAATAGCATGTAATTCCCACGGCTGCCTGGCTGCGCCCATGCACTTTTCACAGTAGGCGAAAGACCCCTCTGTCATTTCCTCAGCGCTTACGTCTCCTCCGGGCCGTGAGCCCGTGGGGAAGCAGGAGATGCAGGCAGCCATTTTCTCTCTGAGGACTGAGCTGGGCTGGCAGATGCCTGTGCCGACCCCGGCCGCTTCCTCCCCCTCTCCTCCTCGGCATCAGTGTGGACGGTGGTCCCAGCTGTGTCGGGGTTAATATTCACAGCTCAGCGGGGTGTTAGGGTGCCTCCATTTGCCAGAAGATGCAGGCAAGGCGACCTGCCCAAGTGGGTGGCCATGGTGCTGGGGACCTGGGCTCGGGTCCTGGGCCTACCCCGGCTGTGTGCCCTTCGACTGGTCCCTTTCCCTCTCTGGGCCTCAGTTTCCCTCTCTGTGCAGAGAAGAGCTGAGGAGCGAAAGGCCCTCCATGGCCACCTAATTCCACCTCCTCCCTGAAACCAGCCATTGCAGAGATGGGGAAACTGAGGCTCAGAGAGGTGACAGGGTTCCCAAATGTATTGGTGTCGGGGAATCAGCACCCTGGTGCCCCAGCCCTGAAATGAGCTGGATTTGGGGCAGGGCAGGGTCAGAAACGTGGGGGCCTTGAGGAAGGGACGATAGTGTAGACAGCTGGGGGGTGCAGGAACAGGGCCTGGCCTGCCAGGTCTTGGCAGCAGCTGGGCCTCCATCCCCAAGGGGACAGACATGCCCCGCACGCACCCACGTGACGTGTGCCCTCTCCTGCACTCTGCCGTGTCCCCAGACGTGCACATCTCCCTCCTGCCACAGGCTCACACATACGCAAGCCACACTGCAGGACCCTACATGTCCACACGCTCTGGGAGCTCTGTCTCTGCCACGGGCTGTCCTTGTCCCCACTTCTACCTGAAGACTCCAGAACCCCACCCCGTGGCTCTGACGGTCCTCTGTTCTGCATTGCAGGGGAACGATCAGGTCCGGTTTGAGCTCACCTGCTACTCACTGGCCCCCCAGATAAAGGTAGGATGTGGCTCTCCCCTTAGCGGGAGCACTGGCAGCCCTGATGGGGAGGAGGGTGCAGGCTTCTGCGAGATTCCACAGGATAGGCAGAGTGCTGCAGAACCTTCTCCATGGCAGGGGTGCCCCTCCGGTGGACAGCCTGCTGGCTCCCTTCGCTGGGGCCAGCTCCAGGGGCACACATTCTTCCCCGCCATTCATTCTTCCTGGAGGTGCTGTCCAGGGGCTGGGGCACAGGATAGACAGTCCCTGCTGCTCTTCAGCCACTTCCCTGGCATTCCCCAGCTGCGGGCAGGGATGGCGCTGGAATGTGGTTGCTGCTGAGTCCTCCTAGCCCCGGTCAGAGCCCCCGCTTTGCCTGTGCCTGGCCCCAGCATCTCCGACCCTTTCCTGGGGTGGGAATCACCATGATCTCAGGACATCAATTGCCCTGGCCTGTGGCATGTCACCCAGGCAGGAGGGCACCAGTGGGCACTGACCAGCCTGTTACTGCCACCCCCACCCCTCCAGCGTGACCTTGGACCTGGCCGGTGTCAGTGCGTGAATGAACGGGTGTGTTCATTCCTTCACTCGCTCACTCATCTTTACCCAGCGTCTACTGGGCACCGCTCAGCTCCAGGAGCACCGTGTGAAGGGCGCAGGCCAGGGCTGGGCAGTGGGAGTTCAATGCACACCGCCATGGCAAGCTGCCCAATTTGTTTGTTTTTTGAGACTCGCCCTGTCGCCAGGCTGGAGTGCAGCGGCACAATCTCACTGCAACCTCAGCCTCCTGAGTTCAAGCAATTCTCCTGCCTCAGCCTCCCGAGTAGCTGGGACTATAGGCATGTGCCACCACGCCCGGCTAATTTTTGTGTTTTTAGTAGAGATGGGGTTTCACCATGTTGGTCAGTCTGGTCTCGAACTCCTGACCTCAAGGGATCCACCCTCCTCAGCCTCCCTAAGTGCTGGGATCACAGGTGTGAGCCACCGCACCCGGCTTTAGTAGCCATATTTTAAACAAGAAAATGAAACAAGTGACAGCATTTTAATAACATGTTTTACCCAACCCCACGTATCCAAAATATCATTCCTCATGTAATTAATGTAAAGAAATTAATGAGATGTTTACATTTTTTTTTTTTTCCTGTGCTGAGTCTTCAAGACCCAGAATGTGCCAGACACGGGCACGTCTCTCCAGCTGGCTGCATTTCAGGTGCTCTGAATGGCCGCCCGAGGCTCATGGTCACCTGTGGGCAGTAGAGGCCGAGGCTGAGCTCTTTTGAGGCCGCCTTGGGCCAAAGCCCTAGAAGAGTTGCCCCTCCCAAGGCCCCAGGGGCTCTCAGGAGTTTCTATTTGTTCTTCTAAGAGGAATCTCTTCCCCTTTCCCTTTAATCAGCCGAAGCTGCTTGGGTTGTGCGGGCCGGAGGTGAGCCGTAATGAGCTCTAATGATCTGCTTTGACCCCAAACGCCAGGCAGCAGAGTGGCGGGCACAGTAGCTGCCTGTGGACTTGCTGCCAGTGAGGCCACCACCGCACGGGGCCCTCCCTCGGTTCCCACAGCAGTTTGGGGGCCGAGCTGCTCCAGGAGCTGCGATGGGGCTGTGGTCTTCCCAGGGCTGCTCGTTGTTTTTTTGCTTGTTTATATGTTTGAGACGAGTCTCACTCTTGTCACCCAGGCTGGAGTGCAGTGGCACGATCTCGGCTCACCGCAACCTCTGCTTCCCAGGTTCAGGCGATTCTCCTGCCTCAGCCTCCCGAGTAGCTGGGAGTACAGGCGCCCACCCCCACATCCCGCTAATTTTTGTATTTTTAGTAGAGACGGGGTTTCACTGTGTTGGCCAGGTTGGTCTCGAACTCCTGATCTCGTGATCCACCTGCCTCAGTCTTTCCCCAAAGTGCTGGGATCACAGGCTTGAGGCACCTCGCCTGGCTCCAGAGCTGCTCATTGTACGTCTGAGGGCTGCAGAGGTGGCGGGCCCCTTCCATCACCCCGCACCACCATCAGCCCAACAACCCACACACATGCCCCTGAGTCCTGCTCAGAGGCAGGGGCCTGGTGAACCCCAGGGCTGAGTGGGCGGCTCCTTTACCCAGCTCAGGCCGAGGGGGCCCAAGTGCAATGAGCTTGGTCCCTCAGCCAGGCTCACAGTCTTCCCCATTCCTTTCCCTTCCACACCCAGAGAAGTGGGTGAGGGGACAGCCTACGCCTCTCTGGGCCCCCGACCCCATGTGGGGCCAGGCCGGCGGCGTAGCTCTGTGGACTCTCCCTGGGTCATGGCGGTGACCCTGTGGCTGAAGGCACTGGCAAGGACCCTGAGCACTGGCTAGTTCAAACTCTCAGGTCTCCGCTGGGGAGACTGAGGCCCAGGAAACGGGGAGACTGAGGCCCAGGAAACAGGGACCCCCTTCTCCCCCCAACACAGCCCCATTCTGCCATGGAGTGCAGGCTCTGCCCAGGCAGCCCTGATGCGGGGGTTCGTGTCCTCCCCTACTTTATGGGGCTCCCTGCCCACCCTCCATGACAGCATCCTATCTGGAGACATGCCAGAGACCCCCCATGCCCCCCTCCTGGGAGAGGCCAGCACTGCAGCTTGTGGGCTGGGGGAAGCCAGCTGCTCGGCGCTCCTGGCTCTCAGCCCTTGCCCTGTGTCCAGGTCATTGCTCCCTGGAGGATGCCTGAGTTCTACAACCGGTTCAAGGGCCGCAACGACCTGATGGAATACGCAAAGGTACGGCCGCGTCTCCCCAGCACCCCCAGGCTTTGCCTACCGTCCCCCTCCCTGGGCACACCCTTCTGGGGGCTCTCCGAGCCAGTGGCCTGGGCCAGGACTGATCCCATGTGCTGGGGGACTGAACTTCCACCCCAGCTGCCTGCACACGTGGCCTCTGTCCCCTGGGCCGACCCCACAGAGGTGTGGTCATCTGCCAGGCCCGTTGCCAGGGCGGAGCCTTTCTGAGGCCATTTCCCAGTCCACAGAGCCAGAGGACACAGGGCTCACTCTCCCTGGGAGGCGGAGACCAGAGCCCTGCTTGCCACCTCCGAGGTGTGTGTGTGGTGAGCTGGGGTGGCAGAGGGATGTGATCAGGAGCTGTTCTCAGCACCCCAGTGCCCTGGAGACACATTGCCCCTAGTGCTTTCCCGGGAACAGGTAAGGCACAAGGGACAGTCGCAGACAAAGCCTTTTGTGGCACCAGCCCTTTTTGAAGTACAAGTTGCAATAAAACATGTTAGAAGTTTTGCATCAAGATCCTGAGCCGCTCCCCAGGGCACCTTTCTTTTTAGCGACGTGATGGCAGCCCTTGACAAACAGCCTCAATCCATCAGGCCGGGGAAAAGCAACTCGGTGCACACACCAGAAAATTGCTCGCGTTTTTAAATAGCAGTCGCCGTGAGCTCTCGCTGCAGCTAAGGTGTCGCGTGGTAGGGGATGTGGCAGGGACACAGCCCTGCCCCCGCCGCCAGCATCCCATTAAGACCTGGAGTGCTGGGAGGGAAGACCACCTCTGCCATCTGTTGTTTTATTATTAAGAGGGGAGTTTACAAGAGCAAGCCCATATGTTGCCAAACAAATTGTCAAATAGCAGAGGTATTAAGGGAGCCGGGTTGGTGAGGTTTCTCCCCTCGTCTCCTTGATAATGTAGAATATAAAGCGTGCTTCCATCTTCAATGAATGGGAGCCCCCACCTCAGGCCGCGGGCCCGGGATAGAGGAGGGCAGGGCTGACCCATACAACGCCCTTCCTTTCCGTGAAGTCCCCAGACAAAAGCGGCTTCTGGTTTTTCAGCACAGACGAGTCCCAGGAGTGCTGCCGTCCGTCCTTCTCAGGTTTTGGGGAGAAGCTGCTGAGCTCAGCGTCCATCCTAGATAACCTTTGGAGCAGGAAAACTTTGCCAGGGAAAGATGAATGTGGCCCCCTTGGCCACCCACCCTCTCCTGGAGATGGGTTTCATCAGAAATGATTGTGGGGAATCTGAACATATTCTAGAAGGAGGCAGAGGCTGTATTTCTGCACCCAGGAACAGATCAGAATGACTGAGCAGGGATGAGGCCTCCTTCAAAATTCCAGTGGAGGAGACAAAAATCAGTGGGGCTTTGAGAATCTCTGCTCTCAAGACCCGTAGGTAGCCAAGGCGGAAGGTGCCAGAGGACTCCTAAAATACATGCCTTTGCTTCCCTTGCCAGGCTCTCCCAGCCCATCGCGCAACGGAAAAACACTCAGAACCACCTCATCCTTGTCATTGTCACCACAATATAAAAATACTTTTTTAGAGACAGTGTCTCACTCTGTCGCCCAGGCTGGAGTGCAGTGGCACAATCCTAGTTCACTGCAGCCACCCACTCCTGGGCTCATCTGATCCTCCTGCCTCAGCCTCCCGAGGAGCTGGCGCTACGAACATGTGCTAGTACATTTGGCTCATTTTTGTTTTTTCTATTTTTGTTTTTTTAGAGACAGGGTCTCACCATGTTGCCCAGGCTGGTCTTGAACTCCTGGACTCAAGTAATCCGCCCTCCTTGGCCTCCCAAAGTGCTGGAATTGCACGTGTGAGCCACTGCACCCAGCTTTGGCTAATTTTTATTTTTGTTTGTTGCGTTTTTGTTTTATTTTGAGATGGAGTTTCCTTCTACCACCGGGCTGGAGTGCAGTGGCGCAATCTCGGCTCACTGCAACCTCCGCCTCTGGGGTTTAAGCGATCCTCCTGCCTCAGCCTCCCGAGTAGCTGGGGCTGCAGGTGCCCGCCACCACACCCAGCCAATTTTTTGTATTTTTAGTAGAGACAGGGTTTCACCGTGTTGGCCAGGATGATCTCTATCTCCTGACCTCGTGATCCGCCCATTTCAGACTCCCAAAATGCTGAGATTTCATGTGTGAGCCACCATGCCAGTGCTAATTTTTAGTGGTTTTTGTTTTTGTTTTTTTTTTTTTGGTAGAGACAGGGTCTTGCTATACTGCCCTGCCTGGCTATAATTATTATTTTTTAAGCTAGACTACAAGGTGGGTGCTAGAAACAGGATGGTCTCATGTTGTCTCCGTGTTGGAGATCGTTTTGTTTTTGCTCAATTACAATTAGAGTGTGTGGGAGGCACCTCAGGACAGAGAGAGGCCGGGAAATACAAATCTCTCCGGTCTCGGGATGATCGCTGTCACTGGCCCTTTATCCTCGCCTTGCTCCTGGAGGGAGGCCCGCTGAGAAGGGAGGCAAGAGTGTTTCCATACTTCCCCCAAAAAAACAGGCTCCGGGGAGGCTGGCTGGCTGTTTCTCTTAGCACCCAGTGGCTGAGCTGAGTGAGGAGCGAGGCCGGAGCCCAGCAGGCCACTGGCACGCGTCTGCTGGAGGGTCCAGCCTGGCCTTGTACAAGGTCTGGGTGCCCATGCCTGGCTAGGGCACAGGGCGAGAGTGGGGACTGAAGAGTCCTCAGATTCTAGAGTATATCCTGAGCTGGTTTTTGTTTTTTTGAATTTCTGTCTTCATTTCTAATATGGTAACTTTTTTTGTTTGTTTGAGATGGAGTCTCGCTCTAACGCCCAGGCTGGAGTGCGGTGGTGTGATCTCACCTCCACCTCCCAAGTTCAAACCATCCCCCTGCCTCAGGTTCCTGAGTAGCTGGGATTACAGGCGCCTGCCACCATGCCCAGCTAATTTTCATATTTTTAGTAGAGACGGGGTTTCACCAAGTTGGCCAGGATGGTCTTGATCTCCTGACCTCGTGATCTGCCTATTGAGGCCTTCCAAAGTGCAGGCATTACAGGCGTGAGCCACCCCGCCCGGCCTAATATAACTGTTGATGAGATAATCTGCGTAAACTTAGGCTCTAGCACTGAAATGTCCTTTTAAGAAAAAACACTTAGGCTCTTTGGGGCCCTCTGTGATTTTTTTCTTTTGTTTTCTGAGATGGAGTCTCACTCTGCTGCCCAGGCTGGAAGGCAGTGGCACTATTTCTGCTCACTGCAACCTCCGCCTCCCAAGTTCAAGCGATTCTCCTGCCTCAGCCTCCTAAGTAGCTGGGGCTACAGGCGTGTGCCACCATGCCTGGCTAATTTTTGTATTTTTAGTAGAAATGGGGTTTCTCCATGTTGGCCAGGCTGGTCTCAATCTCCTGACCTCAAGTGATCCACCCACCTAGGTCTCCCAAAGTGCTGGGATTACAGGTGTGAGCCACTGCGCCTGGCCTCACAGCCTATTTTATAGTGAGTCTCCTGACCTCCTAGAAAACCCCAAACCCAGGGGAAGCAGCCGCTCCCTGGAGGAGCTTCTAGAATCTCACGGTCTTGGGAATGAGCCTAAGTAGGGTGAAGCCCATCAGGAGAGAGATGGGGGTGTGACGTAGTGGGGGCTGCCTGTGGTTCCCGAAGGGACCCAGTGGGGCCAAGGGGCTGAAGGGGCTCAGAGGCAGAGCATCCATTCCTGCTGGCTCCGAAGGGCCCCTTCACTGCACTCTGCCCAGTAAGCGTGGGGCCGAGCGAGCAGCGCCAGGTGTCCAAGTGCAGGCAGAGGCTGGAGTGCTCGTGCTGGATTCCAGGTGGGTGTCAGCAAGGGTGGTGCGGGTCACCAGGGCAGCCAGCCTCATCTTCCTCCTCCCCTTAAGGCTGAGTCAGGTGGGCCTTCCACGAGTAACCTGCAGCCTTTTTAGCCTGGGCGTCCTGGGCAGAGATCATGGGTGTCCTTCTGTAACAACAGACTGGACCATTTAGAAAGGAAAACAGCCAGAGCCGAGTCCCGTGGAGACAGGGGAGTCTGCCGGGTCTGCAGAATGATCCGTTGCGCCCAGCTGGGGGAAGGGTGGTCCTGGAAGGTGCCGGCCGTGAGCTGAAAGCTCTCCCTGTGTCCCTCCTGTCCTCGGGTCCACAGGACACACCACATGGGAGCGGATGCCAGGCACCCTGGTTCATTTCCTTGTCCGCAGTGGGAGGGGGTTCACATCAGCCCCAGATCTTGTGGGGGTGGCCTGGGGAGCTGGTGCTGGGAGACCTGGGCGCGGCACCCGGGCCACTTGCTCGGTGCTTCAGGAGTCCCTGAAGTGTAGACTCAAAGTCTTCCGGAAGGAAAGGTCGGCATCTCAGACACACGGTCCTGCGGTTTCTCTGGGGCATGTCCAGCAACAGGGTCCCCACAGTGGGGTGACCTACATTAGGAGGTAGCCGGGGTCTTGTCTGAATGGGGGCCCGAGTTTGGGATGCTCTGAAGAAGCAGGGCCCTGGGTCTGCCCTCACGTCTCCTTCCAGCCGCCTCACCCCCGCCCTGTGTTGTCTCTTTCCTCAGCAACATGGGATTCCCATCCCGGTCACGCCCAAGAATCCATGGAGCATGGACGAGAACCTCATGCACATCAGGTGATGCCCGCCCTCCACTTGGTCCTCCTGGGCTCATTCCAAAGGACAGCCACGCGCTGCCCCAGGACATGCTGGTGACCACCACCCCCGTGGTCCCTGCACCGGGATGTGCTGCTGACTCCCCACATCAGTAGTCCTGCCCTTGGGGAGCTGAGAGGCCTCAGGCAGGACAGATGTGGAAGCACCCAGCTCTTGCACTGCCCTCATTGCAGTTTTGCTCAGTGTTGTTGGGGAGATAGATCATGGGGACCTGGCCTCATCAAGAGTATCAAAGAGGGCTTCTTGGAGGAGGTGGCATCCAGGTTAAAACCTCAAGGATGGAGAAGAGGCCCAGATGGGGCACAGGGAAGAGTGTTTGAGGCAAAGCACCTCCGCCCCCCCATACACACACACCACCATGTGCAGAGCCTGGAGCAGTCCCCAGAAGACTGAAGGAAAAGCTCCAGCTCTTCCTTACAACCTGCGGCTCCACGGGCAACTGTGGTGGGCCCAGAATGTTCCAGGCAGGTTGGCAGCAGATGCTCTGGCAGCGAGTAAAAGGCAGAGCAGGCTCGTGGGCACAACGGGGTGTGTGTGTTCGGGGGTGGGGGTGTGTCGTGCTCCTCCCCAGCTGACCCCGTCTTTCCTCTCCCCTCCACAGCTACGAGGCTGGAATCCTGGAGAACCCCAAGGTAATCCCCCCACCCCCATCTCCTCCCAGCTGGCCACCTTTGATGGTGGCTGCTCCGTGCCGATGCTGTCTGATGTATTTGTAGCCTAATTTGAAATTTCACGGGGGCCAGCCGTGGGGCTGGGGCCGAGCCCTGCCTGTGTTCCCCAACCCCCCGCCAGCCCTCCTCCATCCACCCTCTCCTAGGCTGCGCTGGAAGACCTCCCCCACCCTTCCTCTTCTAATTGCCGCTGGGATGAACAGGGGAAGGAAATATCTCAGGGCAGCATAGAGAGTGTGATTGTGAGGCAATAAAGAAGTAATTAGGCAGATGAGACACTTGGGGGAGGGCCCAGCCTGTGCCCACCGGCTCCCAGAGCCCCCAGGCTGTGCTGCTGGAGTCTTGGTTGGGGGGGCGGTGGGCATGGCCGAGAGCCCCGGGCCCCATTTGTCCAGATCCGAGTTACGCACCCGCCACCGCTGGCCACCCTGATCCCATCCCAAGCCTCCCGGGTGGGACGGGCTGGGCCCTGAGCTCTTTTTGAAGTTTAGGGTTTCTCTCCCGGGGGTAGGGGGCTTCTTTGTGTCTTCCCCTGCCAACGGTGGGAGGTGGGGGAGGCAGGGCCGAATCTATCATGGGAAGAGAAAAATCTCTTTGTCCCTGGGGGCTGTGTCTCATTCCTGGGCCCAGCCGCACGCCCTGGGGAGGCTGGTTTGGGGGTGGGAAAGTGTGCCTGTTGAGGGGGTGCAGCTGGGCCCCCCCCCCCGGTGGGGGGAACCAAGAAGGCCAGCTGGAGGGGAGGGTGCCCGGGGAAGTCTGGCGAAATTGGGGAGCGCCAGAGCCCTGCCCAGGATTCCCCGGGGCCCTGGCGTCTGTCACTGTCACCGCTGCCTCGGTGTTGGCTGTAATATGATGTGGCAGTCACCATGTCTGGGGAGCAGGCCTGGGTGGCATTGTCCTGGCGTGGCTTCCCGGGACGCCCGCTGGGAGCATCCTCACTTTACGGGTGAGGAGAGTGAGGCCTGGTGTGGTGCGCCAGCTGCTCAGGGGAGGGAACGGGCTGGTGCCCTCCAGCTCTGTGGCTCCCCCACTGCCCACAGCCCCCTCCCTGTCCAAACCTATCACTCAGGAGAGCCGGCACCCTTGCCCCCTGGGGGCTGATGGCCCCTGCATGTGGCTGCTGCCTGCTGGTCACAGGTTTTTCTAGTTCATGCTCTGCTGACCCCACAACACTCCGGCCAGCCACCCTAATTAGCCAGTCAGTCAGCTCCAAGGGGGGCGGGGAGGCCAGGCCTGCAGAGTGGCTTCCAGGCAGGGTGTCCTCAAAGCCCTGTGGGCCCCAAGCAAGCCGGGAAACCACTCCCGGCTGTTCTCCAGACAGCCTGCGGCCTCTGTAAGCAGCTTCTGGAGGCAGAGGAGGCCCCCCAGAATAGAGGACCTCAGGATTGAGAGAGCAGAGCAAGCCCAGAGGGAAATCACCCATCTGACGGTGCAGGAGGGCCCTCGGCCCTGGAGCATGTTACTGTGCTGCTGTGGCCGGCCCTGTCCCCTCCCAGGCCTCCTGTCTCATCAGGGCATTGGATGGAGAAGTCGATGCTAAAGAGAATCTGGATTAAGGATCCTGCTACCTCACCCACACTTGGGTCTCAGAGACAGGAAACCCAGTTTAAACCCCAACTTTCCTCCTTATTGCCGTGCACCTTGGGCAAGTTACCCAACCTCTCTGAGCCTCCAGTACTCCTCTCCCAAAGTGGGAAAACACAGCACCTCCCTCCTGGAGCATCTAAAGCGCTTGGCCTGGCACAGGGCAAGCCCTCAGTGGAGCTGAGGTCTCATGTTCCCTTCTCACGGGTGGAAGGATCCAAGGTCCTCTCAGGGTCTCCTCTCAAGAAATGCTGGGCTGGGCTGGGTGTGAGTCACGGGGAAACGTCATTCCTGCTGAGAGGCCCGGGACACCCAGGCACCCAGAGTCCAGCCACTCTGGAAGAGAGTTTGCCACAGCCACGCGGACTCCCCGAGGGCTTCGTGCTGGGGGTGGGGCTCGACGCTAGGATGCACCCTTCCATCTCTGGACCTGGCGGCCCTGTCCCCCTCGGGATGAGCTCAGGGGGATAGAGCTTGGGGAACCCTGCCCCTCCCCCTCTCCAAAAAAAGCCAGGAGACCTGCGGAAGGGAGGGCTTGAAGGCAGATGGCTGAGCCATTTTCTGCCTCCGTGAGGGCTGATTGAAGGGCAATGAGGCAGCTAATGCGAAGAAAGATAGAAATTTACTTGCTTTAACTTCATACGGCCCACAGTGAAAGAGTTCATTCAGTCGCCGGCCCGCCATAGCTGATGGGTGAATAAACCATTTTCAGCATCGATCATGCCTCTACATCATGGTTCAGTTCATGGGCCATTTGCTCCCAATTTCTCCTTCCCGGGCCCTGTTTCATGCTTTCTTTCGCCCTTTCCCCCTACCCCCCACCCGACTCTCTCTCCCTGTCTCTTTTTCTTCACTTTCTTCCCTCCTCCCCGCCACAGATGACATTGGAAGTGAGCCCTCCCGCTGGGAGGGATAAATAGATGGCATTGATACTCGGCAACAAACTATTTGTCATTTGAACTGGGCTTTTAGGAGGGAGAGTAAAAAGGCAGGCGCTTGAGCCACCGCGGAATGCAAAGCAAATGTCATTTTATTTCTATTTAGTTATTTTATGTAATCAGTGCTGTCAGGTGCCTGCTGGACAGCTGCCTCCGACTTCCACTGCAGTCTGCGGAGAGAGAGACGGAGACCCATCCTCCAGTCTCCCCATCCCTGCTCCTTCCAAATGGACGCACTGTCAGCCTCCACTTCGGTCTGGGGCTCCGTAAGGAAGTGTGGCGTTGAGGAGCGGGGGAAGCGACAAACAATGCACTGAATACAGTTGACAGTCTGGTCCAGCATGGGTGGAGGTGGGAGAGAGCTGGGCTTGGGCGGGATCTGGCCCCTCGCACCGGCACCCTGGTTGGAGTTAAGCCCAGGTTTGGGGGAGTCCCAGGCAGATGGAGATGGGGCTGTGGAATTGTGCAGTCACCTCAAGATCCAGTCCAGTTCATTTCACCTTTTTGCTGAGGATGGGCCTTGGGGCCAGTCTGTGCCCAGGGAATGTGGCAGTTGGCAGGGCCCCATGGGCCATCCCTGATGCCCGCCTGCGGCTGCGATGTTCGCTGGCTCCGGCCACAGGCCTCACCCTGTTCCTCAGCTGAGGTTACTACAGCAGCTGGGAACTGGCGTAAGGTGGCTGAAAGAGTCCCTACGTCTAGCTTCAAAGCATGGTTTAGAGAAGCCACCTCTCAGCCTTGGCTTTCCCTACGGTCCATAGAGGCATCAGGCTGGAGGGCCTTCAGGGCCTCTCCTACCTCCTGGAGTCTGTCTTTAGGGAAAGTTCTGGGTTCTTGTTCCCTCCCCACGAATGGGCACTGATGCAGGGATACAGCTGGCCCTGAGTCACATGGCACCTTAGAGGTGGGGGTGGAGGACCCGCCGCAGTCCCTGTCTGAGCTGAGAAGAATCCATTGTCCCGGTTTGCCCAGGACTAAGGTTTCTTAGGACAAAGGGCTTTCAGTGCTGAAACCAGGGCGCTTGGTCACTCTAACATAGAGCCACAGGCAAGTGACCACAGGTGAGTCTCCAGGGCACTTAGGTAGCCCCATCCCACGCAGGGGGGGAGGAGGAGGAGGAGGAGACTGGGCCGAGCCTGTACGTCCATGAGCGAATTCCAGCTGCCCTTTCTACCTTCAGAGCACGTTCCAGTTTGTTCCGGGCCTTCCCTGATTTCTTGTGTATTTTCATGTCCAGTTAAAAAACTTAAGTTGTAAGATAGTCAAGGGCAGGTATCATTTTCCCCATTTTACAGATGAGGAAACTGAGGCTGGAGGAGGCAAAACAGCTTCTCCAAGGCCCTGCAGCCTGAGACCTACAGAGCCTGGGCTTAACTCCAACCAGGGTGCCCAGGCAAGGGCTCCGTTCCCACCCAAGCCCAGCTCCCTCCCACCTCCACCAGCGCTGGGCCAGACTGTCAACTGTATTCAATGCGTTGCTTGTCACCTTCTCTCCTGCCGCACTTCCTAAGGGAGCCTCAGCCTGAGGTGGAGGCTGACTGCGTGCATTTGGAAGGAGCAGGGATGGGGAGACCGGAGGACGAGTCTCCTGGCGTGGGTATTTCCATCACTCTGAAATCTGACGTATATCGTGGGGGTCCTGTCCTGGGTGCCAGGGAACAAGTTCCACATGGTCTCTGCCTGCAGGGAACTCACAGTTGCAGCTACAATCCCTCCCGCTCAGCCTTGATTCCATGTGTAGATGGGGTAAGGGCGCTGGACCCTCTCACCAAATGGGGCTGCTGAGAACTCACCCTGCAGTTGGGAAGTGACAGGTGAATGTCTGCAAAGGTTTTTTAAAGCGAAGATGACACCGTAGTTCCTAGATGTTGGCAGGTGAACGAGCGCCCCGGGCACAGGATGCCCATGGGAGGGACCTGAGCAGTCAGGCCCAGGAGGCCCCAGTCCCCACAGTGGCAAGTGTCCAAGCCACAGCCTGGGGGAGCCAGGGCCTCTGAAGGTGGGAGGGAATTTCGAGAGTTCCAGGCAGCACGCAGCCCCTCCACCACCGCCTCAGACGAGAGAGGCCGGTTTTCCAACACGCCCAAGAAGAAATATACATAAAGGTTGATGTGTTTTCAAATGGGTTTTTGCTTTGCTCTTCTCTTTTCTCCCTGTGAGTATTAACCTTGGGGACCCCAGGGACGGCTCAGCTTGCTGGAGCACCTGCTGGGTCACACGCAGTCATTAGCTTTGCGGTCAGTGCAGAATAAACCCCAATTCCCAGGCTGGCGAGAGCATGCGTACCGCTCCCGGGAAGCCCTGGGAACGCCGCCTCGTTCCTCCAAAGTCACACTTTTTCCTGCCTGACTTGTTCCTCTCCTGCTATTCTACCTCCAGCTGTGGGGGCGTCGAAGAAAAAGATGAGATCAAGTTGAGGGGAAAAATTGTCTGATTTCTTGAGCCCTTTGTTTCCCAGGCCCCTGGCAAGCAGGGCTGGTGCTAGGCTGGGGGCTGGGGTGTCTGCTGGACCCCACCAGCTGGTGGGGAAGTGGACAGGGGAGAGGGGTGCAGATCCCTGCAGGAGGTGGGGTGCAGGGGTCCGCGGACTGGCATGTCATCCTCCCATCTCTGTCTTTTGTCAGAACCAAGCGCCTCCAGGTCTCTACACAAAGACCCAGGACCCGGCCAAAGCCCCCAACACCCCTGACATTCTTGAGATCGAGTTCAGAAAAGGTACGTGCCACCTGTGGGGACTCAAAGGGGGTGGACTCTTGGGGCCCTGACCCCTTTCCCCTCCCAGCCTGGGAACCAAGACCCTCTTTACCCGCCACCCCCTTGCATTCCTGGAAGCCAGAGTTGAGGCAGGGGCTCCAGGGGTTCCCCACAGCCCACTTCCCTGGACAGTACGAGCATGGATCTCCCCAGGCCTGGGAGGAGCATGCCCTTGGCCGCCCATCACGCAGGTTCATGGGTACCAGGTCGGGAATGAGAGCACTCTAGCTCTTGAACAGACTCAGCTTTCCTGGGCCTCATTTTCCTCGCCTGTATCTGAGGATGAAAGAGTCCGTACTGTTTTCTCGGGGTAGAACAAGGCCTGCGTGGGAGCGTCCAGCCCCAGGCCCTGGCCCCGGAAGGTGCTTGGTAACAGTGAGCTGGCCTCAGGGAGTCCTGGACCCCAGATGGAAAGGCTTCCCCAGTCCTCACTGAGCCTCTCCGGGCCTCACCTGCCGACCCCAGGTTCAAAGCTGCGGCTACTCTTGCTCCCCTCATCAGTGCGGGCTGTCCTGATCGCTCCCTCCTCCTCGCTGCTGTCAACCAGAAGTGTTTGCTGGCCTTGCTTGAGTGCCTGGGTATCTGAGATTGGGAGAAGGCATCTCTTGGCCTGGAGGAAGGATAGAGAAGCGAGGCATGCCTGTCCAGGCTTGGAGGGCTCAGAGGGCCCAACAGGGGTACCTTTTCAGGAGGTTGCAAAGATCAGGGAGGCTTTCTGGAGGAGGTGGTGCTGGGCACGAGCGAGGGCATCCCAGAACCAGGCAGGGGGCTCGCCTACCCGTTCACAAAGTGCCTGCCCACACTGGAAATGGGATGAGACAGAGGGAGGCGCCTGGAGAGGATGATGGGGTGGGGAAGCAGAGCTGCAGATCCTGCTCTGTCTTTGCTGGTGTGACCTTGACCTTCACCATTGTTGGGCCTTGGGTGCATCATCTAAAAACGGGCCACGGAGATGATGCTCACAGGTGCCCAGCATGGTGCACGGAATGGGGTCTTGGAGGGTGAGCACTTTAAGCTTTTCTGAGCCTTTCCCAAGAGCCTGGCCAACCCAGTGAGCATCTTCCTCGCTCTCCTCCATCTGTCCCAACCTGCTGGGGGCCAAAGAGGCCCCCGAAGGCAGCCGGGTCCCCAGGCCTGTTTGCAGGCACAGAACCTCCCTTGAGAATCATCTCTGAGAAGATGGTGGGAGCGACCCCAGCAGCACTTCCTGGCTCCCTGCATGGGGCCCCCCAGGAGCCCAGAGAGCCCCGAGGGTGGGAGGCGGGTGGCAGCCTGTGGAGGGTCCTGGGGACCAGGCTCCAGCAGCCCTGCCCGACGAACGGGGCAGCTCCGAGGGCTGAGCTGGATAAGAAACGTGACCCATTGTCATGATTTGGGGACTGTCTGGAAGGAAAAAAAAAAGATGGGAGGAACCCTCCCCTGGCTAGTGCCCATTCACTCTCTAGTTAATTTATTTGAAGTTTTAATCTAATTATTAACTATTTTAAAGGCTAAGAGGCTTTCTCCGGCAGCAGCACCAACAATGTCACCTCTTCTCCCGGGCAGGCCCCATCTAAGGCCCCAGTGAAGGCCGATAATAGGACCGGGGAGGGAGAGAAAGGGAGAGGGAGAGGCAGGGGGTGGCGAGAGGGGCTTAAGGTTCATTATTGGGCAGACTTACATTTAATAGCAATTTACAACCAAGTTATAAAACCCCTGGAAATGGGGGTTAAGAATGGCGAGGCTGACAGCGCCTTCAGCGAAGCCCCTCCGAGCGGCGCCTGGCTAATAAAGCCGCTATTGAGGCCTGATTGGCACCCGATGGCTCGCTCCATGGTAATGAGCCGGGCAGATGGGTGGGGGATTAGCCGCCAACTTTGAACAGCTTTTCTTTGTCACTGTTTCAGCTCTCTTGTTAGCCCCAATACATTTATTGCTCATTTCACACCGCTCGAGAAAGTGCCCCTTGCTATTCAGAGTCAACCCCGAACCCACCCACTGGCCCCCCACCCCCTTCCCTCCTGCCCTCCTGCCACCCCAGACCCAGCTCCAACACCTCGCCTGCTGCAGCGGGCACCGTGTCACCCCCATCAATCAGATGGCTGCGTGCGGGTCTGGGGTACAGGGTCGGGGCTCGGGGTCCGCCTGACAGACGTGGCAGGGGGTGTGTGTGTGTGTGTGTGTGTGAGCGAGCGAGTGTGTGTGTGCTTGGGCCCAGCCACACCTCGGCCAGGCGGCCCCCGGGTGACTGGTGGGACAGAAGGTGCTCCCGGAGTAAGACAATGGTGGAGCGTGAAATTCAATTAGTTCAGGGCCTGGTTCCAATTTCACAGCCCCTAAATGCAAAAGGGGCAAAGAGAATGAGAGGGTGGGGGAGAGCGTTTTTATTGCATTTTCCCTTTCATTCTGGGGGGCTTTCTCGCCCCTTCTCTCCCTGCAGCAGGCCTCAACCTGCACAGGGCTTTTGAAGGAGTCATTTGGAGTCCATATCTGTCACATCCATTTAAGGCGTTGCGGGAGGAGGGAGAGGGTGGGGTGGCGGGTGCGGGCTTCTCCGCTGAGCCGGGCCCAGAGGCCCACTGCCCTCTCTTCCCACCCTAGGGGTCCCCGTGAAGGTGACCAATGTCAAGGATGGCACCACCCACCAGACCTCCTTGGAGCTCTTCATGTACCTGAACGAAGTCGCGTGAGTGTCCACCACCCTGTCCCGCCTCCTGGGAATCGCTGTTTCAAGCGAGCCCCGGCCTGGACCATTGCAGCTAATGGTTACGGCAGAGGCTCGGCACAGAGCCCAGGCTGTGTCGCATCCCCATGGCTACAGAGTTTCCCTGACCAAGGCGACCTGTTTGGCAGGAGAGGCTCTGTGGTCCTTAGCCTTGGAAGATAACAACCCCAGGGGGTCTCCTGCCTCCTGACCGTTATGCTGGGGTTCCCAGGCCCTCGGCTGGTTGGCAGACCAGCATAGAAGGAAAGGTAGCAGTAGTCAGCTCTGGTGCCAGGCAGGGCCCCAGGACACAGATAACAGAAGGAACAATTTGAACCCACACCTGGGCAATCCCTTTTCTCTCTGGGCCTCAGTTTCTCCACCTATCCCGTGGGCACCTGGGCTAGGTGACCCGGCTCAGATGTCCTGAGTCTTAGATCCTGAGATGCTGCCTAACGTGTGGCCTAAGTCGTGCCCACCCTGGGGCAGCCCAGCTGGGTGGGTGACTCTGAGCCTTACGGTAGCACCTGGACCCAACTGACCGTATCTTCCCACAGGGGCAAGCATGGCGTGGGCCGAATTGACATCGTGGAGAACCGCTTCATTGGAATGAAGTCCCGAGGTGAGTCTGCTCAGCACCCTCCAGGGCCCAGCAAACCCCTGAGACCCTGTCCCCTTTAGAGGCTACTACCCCATGCTACGTGGGCGACCTGGGGCAAGTCCTTTGACCGCACCTCTGAGACTGCAGTGTCCCTCCTGCCAAGCGGGGATCATGGGCCCTTTGCCACTGACTTTCAGGGTGTTAGAAGGGCTGTCCAAGGACTGGGAGGGGTCTGGCAAGGGCCGGGAGTCTCCGAGGAGCAGGGAGGCCAGGGCTAGGCCTGGAGGTCAGGCTGTCTTGTGTTTGGGGTGGGCAGGCCAGGTTTGGAGGCAGACCGTGCAGGCCCAATTTCGTGGTCATTAAGACCAGGCAGGGTGGGAATCCTGCCAGGGTTGGGCGCTGTGGCTGCACAGGCACTGGGAGCCGGCCAGGGCCTAAGGGCCTGTCCCAGCATCAGGCAGGGCTGGTGGGTCCTTTTTCCAGGGATGGTTGGGGCTGAGGCTCAGTGTGACCTCTAGGCTGCCTAGCCCCCTATCTGCCTCTGGCTGGGCCCAGGAGCAGGGCAGCTGGTCCCCAAGTAGGTGCCTCTGCTTTCTCTTAGTAGCCAAAAGCCCATGGTTCCTTTTGTCAGCCACTCACCATTTCATCTTGACCACACCCGCCTTCCCAGGACTCATTTTCCCCATTCACACACCAAGGGGATCTCAGGCCCCTGAGGGTCTGCCAGTGTGTGATAAAGTCAGCTGCGTTCTTTCTGGGGGGATCCTAAGAGGGAGGGGGCAAGGTTTCAGCAGTTGGAGCCCCTGAATTGGGGACCTGAATTTTTAATACTGTTAATGGGGTCAGGGCTTCCTGTTTTGGTAAGTGTTCAGATCTCTTTGCTTAGGGTCGATTTGGAAAGACGCACGGTATAGTCACCACCCCATGTCCCTTGGGCTATTTTTACTAAGACTATAAAATCCACAGAAAGCTCATCACCCCATGTGGGTCAGTAGGTTTGACCTGCCTTCCCCAACGACCTTGGACTTGTCATCTAGTTCTAGGCCTCAGTTTCCCCAAGTGTAATGTGTTAAGTGTTGAGAGTTGCGCTACGCTGGCTCTGACCTGTTTGCATTTACCTGGAAAGGCATGGGAGCACAGAACAGGGAGGCGGGTCTGCCTCCTGTGGTTTTGGCTCCTTGCTTGCTGTTATTCAGGAGAAACAACCTAACTGAAGCTCCGGGAAGGCCTTGAGAACAGTGGTACTAATTAGCTGCTGCCTTTCATCCCACTTACCTTTGTCTCTTACCTATATTAACATGTGACTAGGTGCTCCTTTGTCGCAGCCTGCCCTTGGAAGCCAGCCTGGTGTACACCCTCCAGGGAGAGCTGGGAGGGACCTTGGGGAGCCACAGACCAGCACCGCATTTACAGATGGGGAAGCCAGGGCCGGGAAGGGGTGGGATAGAGGGCTTGCTCCAAATCCGAGGCACTTCAGTGGCAGGACCAGGATTGCCATCTGGGCCCAGAGTAGCATGGAATGGAGGGCTAAGAGCCTAGACTGGAGTTAGAGAGATATGGGTTCAAACTCATGTATGGTGGCAGGAACTGGTACACTGGAAGTGCTCCATAAATAGTCATCAGTCCCCAGGGGGTACAGAATGGGGACAGAGGCAGCCCAGACCCTCTGGGAGCTGTCAGTGTGCCGGCAGGGGGGGTCCAGTACCATACCTGTTGTCGTGCCCTTGCCATACTTCTGGCAGGCGTCACCAGTTGATGCTGGCACTATCCTGTTGACTCTAGAGGTGTCTCAGGGCTGCTTGCAGGAACTACCAAATGATCAGGATTGGCATGTGTGATGAAAATGTATTGCCTTCCCTGTTGGAAAGACAAGGACTGACCTGAAGTCTCTCTGAAATGGCATCCGCTGGGTGGGGATTGTCAAGCAGAGTCTAGCAAAAATGAACTGAAGGAGGTGGTTAGTGAGAAGATCTGGACTGCACATTCTGGGAGGACATCTTGGAGGAGGCGGCAGTAGAATAGGCTTCATGGTAGAATGTGGAATGGGAGCTGAGAGCATTCCAGAGGGTGGTAGACGATGATGGGAGGCACCCCAGGTGGCCTGTTGGATCTGATGGGGACCGACAGCCAGAGACCTGGGAGACGCGCTAAAGAGCTGGTGTCAAGGGTCAAGGCTTTTGGTGCCAGGCCTAACTCCCGATGTTGGCTCTGTCACCATTGGAAAAGCAACTTAGCTTCCCTGAGCCTCAGCTTCATCTGTGAAAGGGGTTATTGTGCAGATCAAATGCAGAGCCCTCCTGATGCTCTGGCACAATAGGTTTGGGTCTGGATGGCAGAGTTGCTACCTTTTTCCCAGGATGGGGGCCTCGTCCCCATAGAAGACCAGAGCCATGACATCAGTAGTCTGTTCCAACCCCCGTGGCTCACCCACCTGCCAAAAGTTCCCTGGAGTCAGCCTTCACTCTGTTCTGGTACTTGGTGGGTGCCGTTGGAGGCTGTCCCCAAAAGCACAGAATGTAGTCCGCGTTGTACAGGAAGAAAATCGGGATTCCAACTGCAAGAACTTGCTGTGTGATCTTAGCCGGGTTTCTCCCTCTGGAACTCCAGTTGTCAAGGGGCCAGATGAGGAGGTCACAGCGTCTCTCCCCGACATCCTCACTCGCCTATTTTCTTGCTTTGCGTTAGGGAGAGAAGAGAAAGTTGCTTGGTAATCTTAGGGTGATGTCTTGTTTTTATTTCTCTACTCCAAATATTTCATGTGAGAAGGAAAGAGATGATAAATTAGGGCGCTGGGGGTTCTCCCATGACAAGATTTTTTTATTAAGTGTACAGTAATGAGAGAAGCTGTTATCGTCAATTATATTGAGGGAAGAGCGGAAAGGTGCTGTTGTCCGTACCTCCATGTACAAGGGGAAGATGTCATTTGTATTGATTTTACAAAGCTCGTAATTGAAATTCGTTAAGGGCTGATTTTTTTCCGGGGGGGTGGGGGTGTGTAGGGAGTTGGGCAGCGCCAGCACCGTGGGTCTGGGGTAGCCTGGTCAGCGGCGCTCAGGGTCAGGGACAGGGGGCTGGGGAAGCTGCGGAAGCTGCCGCTGGAGTAGCTTTCTCTATATTGTGGCTGTTCACATGTCATTATCACATTATCTTTTTAACTCTGGAGGGGGGCTAATTAAGTGAAGTAAATGAAATCAGTGGGGAGGAGAAGGGGGGCACGGCAGGCTGGAGGGAAGCAGGGAAGGCGCCCGCGCACGTCCTTGTGCTCACCATCTTTCTCTCTCCTCTCTGGCCAGACTTCAGCCTCTCCCCTTTCCGCTCTTCTCCCCATCTCACTCCTCCTCCTCGCCTTCCTTTCCTCCTGCCTCTCCCTCTTTCCTCCTCCTTCCCCTCTTCCCTCCCTTGCCCTTCCCTCTTTCCCCATCCTCCCCCCTCCTCTCTTCCCTCCTGTCTCCCTTCCACCTTACTCTTCTACTTTCTGGCCAAGAAGGAACAAGGGCTGCCACCCACTTTCCCAACCTGCCCACCCACCATCTGGAACATTCCAGGTGGAGAATGGAGGGAGATCTGTGAAGCAAAGAGGTTTTCAGCCCCAGAGGCCCACCCAGGATGAGGCCTGCCAGGCACCAGGAGCACAGAGGATGGCTAGAGTTCCCACCCTGACCTGCCTCCCATCACCATGGCAACTGCTTCTCGCCTTGGCCCTGGTACCTAAGAGGGGAGCCCTTGGGCTCCAGCCACCACCCCCCCCATGCCCCAGATTTTCCAAATATTGCTTCTTCTGCTTTCCAAAAGGACCAGAGCCTTTAGTCCAGGTGCCCTCACCCCCAGCCTGTGCCCCAGCTGAGCTGGTGGATCCCACTCAATTCTGCAAAATCGCTTATTCCAGGCTAACCTGGCAGCCTCAGGGACAGATGAGAAGAATCTGAGCCACAGTAGCTGTTTGGTCCCACCTCTTCCTGCTTGTCCACTTCCCCCCAGCCGCCCCTGGCCACCCCTAGCTCCTTGCCCTTCTCTGCACTCCCCGCTGCACCCTTCTTGGCAGTAATTATGGTGTGATTGAAGCCGCTCCGCAGAGATCTGCTGACACCTCTGTCTTTTTCCTGTAAACACGGGGAGATGAAAATAGACACTTGGAGCCGCTGTGCGTGTCACTCCGAAGATGTCTGTTGTCTCTTCTGCGGCAACACAGAGGCTCAGCTGTCATTTTCTCCTTCTTCCTGCGCGGTGGTTTGTATGCCGACTGTCAATAGCCCGAAATCTGTAGCCTTTTAGCATCAGGTTTCTGTCACTGTTTTTTTTTTTTTTAAGTCTTTTTATTTTCCAGAAGAAAAACACAGACATCATCTGTAACCCCTACCCCTGCGGAGAGGAGAGGGAAGAGCCTTGAAATGCGCGCGCGTGCATGCACACACACACACACCCGCGCCGCGCACACACGCACACGCGCGCACATGCACACACACACATGCGCACGCGCACACGCACACGCATGCTTGGAACAGCAGCAAACGGAAAACAAGCTTTTTGATCAGTCGCCATTAACTTAGGAGCAGGAGTCTTAATTGTGCTGATATGTTTCAAGGCTGCAGCCTCTCCTCTTGCCCAGCAGCCCTCTGGGTGGCAGCCGTGAAGCTGGTGCTGGGGGCTCAGGAAGAGGTGAGTTCTGCCCGGCCTCTGCCCACCAGGCACTCTCTGCTCCCCGTGGCACTGGCTTCATTTTCCTGGCGACACCTGTGATGGGCCAGTAGCTGCAGGACCTTAGGCAAGTCATAGCTCTTCCTGGAGCCCTGAACCCCACCTGCGTTCTCCCCTCTCTGGACTGATGGGAGGCGAAGCTGTGGCCTAGAGTGTTCTCGAGACAAGACCGTGAATAAGTAGGGCACAGCTGGACACTGCAGCTAAACACTTACCTTCCAGGTAGGTCCCAGAGGAAGCTGGAACATCAAAGCAGCAGAAATTGGCAATCTTGTTTTCCAGACGGGTTGCCTGGTTCTGAGAGCGGGGGCTGAGACCAGCCAAGGTCACACAGCAAAGCCACTCTGGGCACTTTCTGTAAAGGCAGGTTGCAGGACCCCTGGTGCTCAGCCCCAGCCCTGCAAATATAGTTTGGACTGTGCCCCCTAGTTGGCCCAGCTGAGGACAGAAAAGCAGGGAGGCAAGCCGGGGTCTCTAGGAATTGAAAATGAGGATGGCTCCCATTACTGGCCTGCCCGGGATGACGCTATTGTGACTCTGTGGCCAGTATAAGGACAAGCTTTGCACGTTTCTGGAATTTTCCAAAATTTACCCAAAGTAATCACTAGAAGGCCTGTTTCCAGCCATGTGCCGGGATGGGAGGACCAGCAGGGCTTTGTCAGTGTCCTGCTCTTGGTGGCTCTCGGGAAATTGCTTTATTTCTGGTCATCAGGTTTCTAGGCTAATTGAAAACTTGCTCCTGGAACACTGTTTTAGCTGCCGTTTTGGAGGCCGAGATTTCCGAAGGTTCTGCACACATCGGTCTTTCTAAACACACCGTTGAGCCATTCCCGTTTCTGGTGGCTTGGCACTGTCATGTTTGTTTGGGGTCATGCTTTGTTTTTTTTCAGAGAGGGTCTTGCTCTGTCACCGAGGCTGTAGTGCAGTGGCACAGTGATGGCTCATACAGTGTCCTTGGGCTCAAGCAGTCCTCCCAAGTAGCATACACACCTCACCCAGCTAATTTATCTTTTTTTTTTTTTTTTTTTTTTGTAGAGATGGGGGTCTCCCTACATTGCCCAGGCTGGTCTTGAACTTCTGGGCTGAAACGATCCTCCCACCTTGGCCTCCCAAGTAGCTGGGACCACAGGCACATGCCACCACGCCCAGAGAATTTAAAAATTTTTTTTAGAGATGAGGTCTCACTGTGTTGCCCAGGTTGGTCTTGAACTCGGCTCAAGCAGTCTTCCCGCCTTAGCCTCCCAAAGTGCTGGGATTACAGGTGTGAGCCCCCACATGCCTGGCCTGTCCTCAAGGCTGTCTGTAATGATTTTTCTCAGCCATTCCTCTGTTTCTGCCTCCATCAGCCTTTTTACCACTTCCTGGTTTGTGGCTCTGAGCTGCTCTGCAGAAAATGACAAGGGACCCATTTGAACAGTGTTTACAAGAGTAATGCTGAGGCCTGAGGAACTCACAAGGGATTTGAGGGCTTGGGCCTCTGCGTGGGCTTGGAAAGAGGCCACTTCCTACTCCGAGGTCACAGTTAGATTAAATGGTGGAGTCTGCTGAGGGCTGCAGCCCCCACCAATGACGCAGGGTGGGCTCTTTCGTGGCACACGATACTCATATTTGCTCCCGGTGGCTGTGAGGGGCTTTCACAAGCGTGTGACCTGACACCATATCAGCCTCAGTGAGAACCCAAGCGTTTCCTCTATCACAACAGCCCAGACTTGGCCGTTTCTCTCCAGCTCTGGTTAGCGCTTGGTCACTTTCCCAAAGGCCCTTAGAGGCCACCAGGAGCTAAGATGGGAGACCCCAGTGCTGGTCCCATTCTCCCTCCAATTGACTAGGGAAGCCACTCCCCTCCGCAGGCCTCAGGTTCTCATTTGTAAGACTGGTGTGAGACTAGACTGAAGGTGAGTCCAGAGGGGCTTCTGCCCCTCTGTCTGATACCAGGTTTGCACCGGAGTGATCCCAATGGGTCTTAACAGCAAGCTCTGACATTTCCGTGATTCCAAGACTTAGAGATCAAAGACTGGAGTTCTCCAAGGAGGAAGCTTCTGGTTAGTGCATGAGGGCTCGGCAGACTCAGCCTCCCCAGATCCCCATTGGGCTTCAGAGTCAACACGAATCTCCTTTGTGGTTTTTAAAACATTTTTAAAATTATGGTAAAATACATGTAACATAAAATTGAGCATTTAAAAAAATGTGTAAGTATGCCGCTCAGCGGCCCATTCACAGGCCTGTGCAGCCATCACCACCCTGCACCTCCAGAACATTCTCATTTTGCAAAGCTGAGATCCTGTCCCCGTGAAACACTCCCCATCTTCCCTCCCCCAGCCCCTGGCAGCCACCATTTCTGTCTGTATGATTCTGACTACTCAAGGGACCTCCTATGGGTGGAACATAAGAGTGTTTATTTCTGTGTGCCTGGCTTGTTTCACTTAGCATAATGTCCTTACGCTTATGCTGTGGCATGTGTCAGGATTTCCTTCCCTTTTTTTTTTTTTTTTTTTTAAAGACTGAGTCTTGCTTTGTTACCCAGGTTTGAGTTCAGTGGTGTGATCTTGGCTCACTGCAACCTCTGCCTCCCTGGCTCAAGCGATCCTCCTGCCTTAGCCTCCCAAGTAGCTGCGACTACAGACACACACCACCATGCTCAGCTAATTGTTTTGGTATTTTTAGTAGAGATGGGGTTTCATCATGTTGGCCAGGCTGGTCTTGAACTCCTGACCTCAGGTGATCTGCCCACCTCGGCCTCCCAAAGTGCTAGAATTATTACAGGTGTGAGCCATTGCACCTGGCCTCCTGCCTTGACGCTGAATAATATTCCACTGTGTGGATGGGCCGCATTTGCTAGTTCACTCATCCCTCCACACCTAGCTTGCTTCCGTCTCTTGGCTGTTGGGATTAATGCTGCTATGAACATGAGTGTACAGATCCTTTGTTTTTTTTTCCAAGCAGCCAATGTAGAAAGATGATGTTAGTAGATGACTAAGGATCTATTAGTAGATTCCCAGGATAACTGACAGCCTGCCCTTTTAGTGATGTAACATCGTGTGGTGGAGGAAAGGAAGCTTGCGGCATAGAATCCATGGAGATGGGGGGCTTCGGCCCCTGCTCCACCCAGACAGCAGCGATGGGGCAGGTTTGCCCAAGGCCAGCTCTCTGAGGTTGATTCGAGAGGTTGCATTCCTGGTGGTCCGGGCTGTGTGACGTGAGCAGTCCTGCCTCTTGGCGCCCCACTGTTCTCCAGTGCAGTAGGGTGCTGAGGAGCGGGCCTTCCCAGACCCAGATCAGCCCAGGGCTGGGCACCACTGTCACTCAGAGATCATCTGTTCCAGGCAGGTTGTTTTGCAAATGGAGGGACTAGGCCTCAGGTCACAAGAGGGGACTTGAGTAATCCCATCCCCCTGACCTTCCAGGGTGGGGCCTCCACAGCCAGTTGACCCACAGGGCAGCAGACAGCACTGGTGAGGGACTTGGAGGCCTAGATCCAGTTCCCAGCTCCTCCTAGAGCAAACCATTTCTCTTCTTGGGCTCAGTTACCCCATCTGTATAGTGGGGTCAGCCCCGGTGATTGCCCAAGCCCTCTGCCACCCCAGTGGCCTCTGGAGAGACCTGGCCCCAGGGGCTCCTTGGGCTGAAGGTGGCACATGTGTACACATGTGTACACATATGCACAGCCGCCCCCGCCCCTGGCTCCCTGGTGGAAGGGAGGAAGGGATATTTGGGGCCCCGGGCTCTACTGTAGTGGCTTTAATTACAGGCTTTCAACCTCGGGCCGGTGGGCATGCATGGGGAGGGAGGGGTTGCTGCTCCGAAACCCTGTCATTTTCTAGCGTCTGAGGGCCCCTTCAAAGGGGGCATCTAGACATTTTCTCCACAAGCCGCAGAGTGGACTGTCGTGGCCCCAGCATGAACATAATGACAGATGCATTTTGCAGCAAGCTGGGAGTGAATGGGTCCGACCGGCTTGTCTCCTGTCAGAGGAATCATTATTATTTTTTTTTTTTGTCATTTGCTGACAGTTTGGGTTTCATACGTTTCTCTCTTTTTCCTCCTTTTCCCCCTGCCTGGAAAAATGGCTAGGTATCTACGAGACCCCAGCAGGCACCATCCTTTACCACGCTCATTTAGACATCGAGGCTTTCACCATGGACCGGGAAGTGCGCAAAATCAAACAAGGCCTGGGCTTGAAATTTGCTGAGCTGGTCTATACCGGTGCGTAAGTCTCTGTGGCTGTCCCCTTTAACTGCCCCCCAAGGGATCCCAAATCACCCTCATGTGAGGCCCTAAAAGACACAGGCTAAAGGGGGTTGAGGGAAAGTGCAGGGAGCAGGGGCTGCTGAGACCTACCCTGCCATGGGGCATGTCCAGGGAGATGCCCCAGCCTCCCAAGCTGTCCAGCAGCCTCCACGGCCCAGTTTGCCTGACTCCAGCACGTGCCAGGTGCTGGGCACTGTGTGGCAGCATGCCTCGTCCCACGTGGTCCTCACAACCTTCCTAGGATGTCTGCAGCTCCCTGTACACGTGAGGAAACTGAGGCTGAGAAGGAAAGGATAAAACCAGAGGTGGCCTAGCTGGGTTTGACCCCCAGGTCAGGCTGTCTCCAGGCAGAACCTGGATCTACTCCAGGAATTCAGCCCCAGATCCCAGCTGCAGGAGCCAGATCTTGACTGTGAAAAACCGGGGTGGCCATGGGGCGACAGGCCTGAGCCTTGCCACAGACCCAGCCCATGTGCGGAAGGACCAGTGGGTGACAGGAGCACCCACCGTTGGGGGTGTCCCTGTTTTGCTGGTGAGGAGCCTGGGTTTCCAAGCCTCCTGACTCCAAAATCTAACACTCCTGTGGTATAACAGGGGTCCCCAAACTACAGTCCCTGGGTCAAATCCAGCCTGTCATCTTTTTCTTCAGCCCATGAGCTAAGAATAGTTTTTACATTTGTATTTTATTTATTTGGGACAGTTTCACTCTTGTTACCCAGGCTGGAGTGCAATGGTGTGATCTTGGCTCACTGCAACCTCCACCCTCCCTGGTTCAAGCGATTCTCCTGCCTCAGCCTGCCGAGTAGCTGGCATTACAGGCGCTTGCCACCATGCCCAGCTCATTTTTGCATTTTTAGTAGAGACGGGGTTTCACCATGTTGGTCAGGCTGGTCTTGAACTCCTGACCTCAGGTGATCTGCCTGCCTTGGCCTCCCAAAGTGCTGGGATTACAGGCATGAGCCACTGTGCCTGGCCAGTTTTTACATTTTTAAATGGTTGGGAGAAAAAAAATTTTTTAATGCTATTTCATGATAAATTATATAAAATTCAAGTGTCACCAGGTACAGTGGCTCATACCTGTAATCCCAGCACTTTGGGAGGCCTAGACAGGATCACCTGAGGTCAGGAGTTCAAGACCAGCTGGGTCAACATGGTGAAACTGTCTCTACTTAAAAATACAAAAATTAGCTGGGCATGGTGGTGCATGCCTATAATTCCAATTACTTGGGAGGCTGAGGCAGGGGAATCACTTGAACCCAGGAGGCGGAGGTTGCAGTGAGCCGAGATCGTGCCACTACACTCCAGCCTGGACAAGAATGAGACTCCACCTCAAAAAAATAAAAAATTCAGGCCAGGCACAGTGGCTCATGCCTGTAATCCCAGCACTTTGAGAGGCCAAGGCAGGTCACCTGAGGTCAAGAGTTCATGACCAGCCTGACCAACATAGACAAACCCTGCCTGTATTAAAAATACAAAATCAGTGGGGCATGGTGGTGCATGCCTATGATCCCAGCTACTCGGGAGGCCGAGGCAGGAGGATCACTTGAACCCGAGAGGGAGAGGTTGCAGTGAGCTGAGATCGCGCCATTGTACTCCAGCCTTGGATGCCAGGGGACCCGTGCAAAGTTAGTTAATAGGCTAGCTACCTGGGCTAAGCTCTCCTCCCCGCCTCTCCCCCTCCACTCCCAGGGTTTGTTTCCTTTTAAGCCTCCTAATCATGGTAACTCATCTCAGGATTTCAAGAGGTCTCAGTGGTTATTGGGTGGTGGTAGTTCTCCCTACCATTGTTCCTGGCAGCTTTGAAGCCAAGTTCTGCCCCCTTTCCCAGGTATAGACAGGTGCTTAAATACCATTGTCTCCTGCGGGCTCTCCAGCCTGGAGGGATTGCAATCCTGAAAGGAGGATTTTGGTTACAAGTGAGCGAATCATTAAGATGTGGCAGAGGAGAGCACACCTGGCCCGGCTGCTCCGGGTCGGCAGAGGCTGATGCCAGTGGCCATGGCTGCCACTAATCCTGCCGTCGTGCTGCCAGGCTGAGCTGGGCACCTGACAGGTATTATCTAATATTAGCTGTGCAGAGGTGAGGAAATGGAGGCCCCCAGCTGAGGGCGGTCACCCAGGCTCTCCTGGTTAGTGACGGGCAGCTTTGATCCTGGTTCAGGCCAGCTTCAGTGGCCAAGTTCCCAGTTACTCCACCAGATTCCAGGACGCTCGTGATCAAGGGGTACGGCGGCACAGACAGGGGAGCCCCGGACGTAGGGCATCGTTTGGCCCCCGGCTGCATTCACGATGCCTCTGCACGGGCTGGCTGGGTCGAGTCCCTGCCCTGTCCTGTCAGCAACAAGCCCTCTGCATCCTAAACTGAGGTACGATGATTAGGAAACACAACTTCAGAGGGGAGGCGAGGGCGAGGGGGGGGCTGCCTCCTGGTAGTTGTCACTAATACTGACTTTGCCCAGGTCCGCTGAGGTCCAGGGCCCCACAGACGTCAAGATCAGCCTTGGGCAGCAGGCTGACCGCCACAGCTCAGAAGGGCCATTTGATGCGATTTTCTCATGAGGGATATGGTATAGACCAGGGCTTTGTTTGAGCATGTTTACTTAACCTCCATGAGGCCTCAGTTTTCCCATGTGAAGCGTGGGGGTAAGAGTTCTGTCGGGTGGTGAGGACTAAATGCACGAGTGTTTGGGAAGCATCTGAAGCAGTGTCTGGCAGGCGAGTGCGTACTCCAGCATGTGGCGTGCTTTCCCAGTTTAGAGGCGGGGCCCTGGAGTCTTGCCTCTGGCTGGGTTAATGGTCTTGAGCAGGTCTGTCGCTTCCCTGAGCCTCAGTTTCCCCTCCTGTCAAATAAAGGGCCACAGGCTGAGAGCACGGCAGGGTCTCTTCCCCGTCCCGTCTTGCTCGTGGGTAGAGGGACCCCCCACTCTGCGGCCGTGCTTGGCTTCCTCAGAGCCCCTGTGGTCTCGGCACAGACAGGGAGCATGAGGCACAGGGAAGCCCTCCTGTCCCGGCCTTGCTCCTAGAGGCCCTGGGCTCTGTGATCACTGCCTCCCTGCGTCTGTGTCTGTGTGGCTGGCTGGCTCCTGCTCCTCTCCTGCCATTTCCAAATTGCCTGGTCTGGCCGTATGGGCTGCAGGCAGACTGTCTCCAGGAGTGGCATCCAGGGTTGGCCCGGCAGGACCCCAGCTTCAGGACTCTGGCAGGGCCCAATGGAGCATCTCATTTAGGGGGTATAGCTCGCCTCTTCTTCCCTCACCTCCGTTCCTTCAGCAGTAAAATGGGTATAATGTACAACTCACACAGCATTGTTCCGGTGAGAAAGGATCTCACATGTCTGGCTGGGCCTAGCAGCATGGGGGAGGGGTCCCTCTCCAGCTCAGCCCTAAGCCCCGCCCACAGTTCATCTGCAGGCCTGGGGTGTACAGGGTCTCCCCCTATGCAGTTTCATGGCAGTTTTGCTGTCCCCCAGCCCAGGCTGGGTCCGCTGGGAAAAGAAATCTGAGCAGAAGACCCCCGTGGGGCAGAGGTAGAAGATTCTGAGATAACGCTCGGGCCGGTTGCTCCCACGGAGATCTGTCTTCCCTATCTCTGCCTCCATCTCCTGCCTGTCTTCCAGCCTGGAAACTTGATGGGCTAATTATCCAGCTCCATCAAAAGATGGCCAAGCCCAAGACACCAGGGCCTCGGGGGCTGGGAGGACAAGGGTCTCAGGGTGTGGTAGAAAAAGCCCTGGGCCAGAGTTAGGAGTGCTCTTCCACAGTCTTGCTGTGTGGCCTTGGACAGGTTCTTTCCCTCTCTGGTCCTCTCTTCCCCCGCCCCCGCCCCCGCCGTGTACAGTGAGGGCTGGCGCTGGGCATGGTGTTCAAACAGCTAATGCAAAATGCTTAGTGCTGTGTGTGCATTCTCTCACTGAAACCACATGAACTTTGGTGATATTTTCTCACTGTGCAAATGAAGAAACTGAGGCACAGGGAGGTCGCATCACTTGAAGTGTGGCTGGGATGTGGACTCAAAGGGTGGGACCCTGGAGAGCAAGGACTCAACCTCTACTCTCCCTGCCTGGCCCTCCCCAACCTCTGCAAGCCCCAGGACCCTATCCCAGAGCAGGCCTGTCCCCTTTCCCACGGAGGGCCTCAGCAGGTGCCCCCAGGGGCCTGGGCCTCCCACAATAGCTGCAGCTCCTGGCCTGACCCAGCCCTTTATCAGGGCAGGAGATCATGTGCCATCTGGCCCTGCAGCTGCCCAGGTGGGCTCACCTTCCCAGCTCCGTTTCAGGAAACCCTAGCCTTGCTTTGTCCCTCCCCCTCTGCCGTGGCTGGCCTGCCTGCCCCTTGGTCCCAGCCTCCATCCGCAGAGACTAGAAAGAGGCCCGGGGCAGACTGGGGTCTGAGCACTACCCCTCCCTGGCCTTTAGCACTCTGGGGGAGAGGGAAGGGAGCCTGTTTCTTAGGTACCTCCTGCCCCAGCCTTCACACCAGGGGATGTTCCAGTCACGGAGAAAGCTCCAAGTGTGTCATAGGAAGCAGAGTTGTTACAACGTGGGCCAAGAGAAGTCAGATGTAGGCTCCCCACTTCCAGCCTGTGTGATCCCAGAGAAGTCTAACTTCCCTGAGCCTCCCCTTCCTCACCCAGAAAGGAGAGAGGCTGAGGGCTGTATGAGGGTTCAAGGAGCTAGCGCAGATGAAGCCCGAGCACAGTGCTGCTGCTCATCTCTGCAGACACATTCCGTCTGCCTAGGAAAACAGTAGCAGGAGGCAGAGAACCGCTCACCGAGTCCAGGGGGCCGGCCCGCCCTGAAGGGTGGGCTCCAACCAGGACTCCAGTTCACAGGAGCCCTTCAGGCTGGTGCTGCTCAGTGCTAGGGCCCCCACTCAACAGATGGGGAAACAGAGGCACGGAGAGAGGAAGGCTATATATGGCCATGGTCTGATCCTGAACCACCACCCAGCTGCGCACTGGACACCCATGTGACCAAGCCCCAGGTAGCATGTGCCTCTGAGTCCTGAGGTCTTCTGCCTCCCCTACCAGGATTAGAGCCCAAGGTGGGCTAGGGATGGGGTCCCTCTACCACTGGGCCCCCACTTCCTGGCATGTGGCGCTTCCTGCACACCTGTGGCATGAAGCAGTGGGTCACTTCCCTCCTGACCTTTAGGAAGTGACCCAGATGGCCTCTTACCCACAGGACAGGACTACAAAAGCATGGTCCTCAACTCGGTCACGGGCAATTGCATACTGTGTCAGACTAATGGGAGGCAGTCAAGGTCTACATGGTGGGGTGAAGCATGGGGCACCCTTCCTGTGCTCTCACCCACAGCAGGCAGCGCAGGAGGCCCCCTGATCCCCTCCCGTTCTCTCCCCTCAGGTTTCTGGCACAGCCCGGAGTGTGAATTTGTCCGCCACTGCATCGCCAAGTCGCAGGAGCGAGTGGAAGGGAAAGTGCAGGTGTCCGTCTTGAAGGGCCAGGTGTACATCCTCGGCCGGGAGTCCCCACTGTCTCTCTACAACGAGGAGCTGGTGAGGTAGGTGCCCCACACCTCGCCCTGCCCCCGGCTTAGTCGCGGAGCCTGGCTTTTGACTGGATCCTCAAGACATCTGTGCCTCAGCACATGTCAGGAGCTGTGCAGAGCACAGAGAGACGGTCACAGAGTATAGACACTGCCATGCCCTGGTGGAACATACAGGCTAGCTGGGGAGAAAGGCTTGGATCAAACTATCACCAGAATGTCGAATTAGACAAAGTGGTGACGGGCTTGTCTAAGGTGAGGAATGCACGATACTCTGGCTGGGTATAATAACTGGGGTTGGCTAGGAGGGGTGGTGCATGCCTGTAATTTCAGCCACTCAGGAGGCTGAGGTGGGAGGATTGCTTGAGCCCAGGAGTTGGAGGCCAGCCTGGGCAGCATAGAGACCTTGTCTCAAAATAGATATAAAGAATAATTGTGGTTGTGGAGAAGCTCCTTTGCTATTCAAATAATAGCAGAGGATTTAACAGATGAAGGTGGGGGGAGTGGGAGGGTGAAAGAGGCCAGGGGGAGGGAGTCGAAGCTAGATCTTAAAGGGAAGTGCAAAATCAGATCTGTGCATTTAGATAGTCCTCCTGGCTGCTCTGGAGAAAGGATTTGAGTAGGTGGGGAGGGGGGAGGGCACCTGTGGAAATGCTGGCAGCTTGGACCAGGCTGTTGGTTCTGGGACTAGATAGCAGCAGGGAGCTGTGAGAAAAATCTAGAAGGGGTTGAAATGGCAGGTCCATAACCACCGTGGTGTCTGAGGTCATGAGCAGCTGGGTGCAATCCCTGGGTGGAGAAAATGCTCTTGAGGAAGGATCATGAATTTGGATTTAGGTGTCACAAGCATGGGTTTCTTTTGAGCTAGCTGGGAAAACTAGAAGGCCACTGTCGGACAATGGGGTCTAGAGTTGAGAACCTAGGTCGAAGGCCCTGGAGCGTCATAGGCATTTTAATGTTCTCCGAAGCCCCGGAACAAGAAGAGACTCCTTAGGGGAGAGTGTGGAGCTAGATGAGAAAGGAACTAGCCAGGCAAGATGGCTCAGGCCTGTAATCCCAACTCTTTGGGAGGCCAAGGCGGGAGGATCGCTTGAGGCCAGGAGTTCAAGACCAGCCTGGGCAACAGAGCAAGACCCCCATCTCTACAAAAAATGTTTTAAATTATGCCAGGCATGGTGGCTCATGCCTATAATCCCAGCACTTTGGGTGGCCAAGATGGGAGCATCGCTTGAGCTCAGGAGTTCAAGACCAGCCTGGGCAACATAGTGAGACCTCATCTCTACTCAAAAAATCAAAAAAATTAGCCAAGCGTGGTGGCATGTGTTTGCGATCCCAAGTACTTGGGAGGCTGAGGTGGGAGTGTCTTTCTTGAGCCTGCGAGATCAAGGGTGTAGTGAGCCATGATCATGCCACTGCACTCCAGCCTGGGGAATCAAGCAAAACCCTGTCTCAAAAAATACATAAAATATTAGCCAGGCATGCTGGCATGCACCTGTAGTTCTACCTGCTTAGGAGGCAGAGACAGGAGGGTCACTTGAGCCCAGGAGTTGGAGGCTGCACTGAGCTATGACTGCACCGCTGTACCCCAGCCTTAGCAACAAAGCTAGGCTCTGTCTCTTACAAAAAAGTGGGGGAGAAAACAAGTGGAGCTGTGAGGAGCTTTCTCAGTGATGGACCAGGCAGAGGGTGGCCGCGTAGGAGCCCCTGGAGAGGTAGGGCAAAGGTAGCAGGTAACGATTGGCTACTCTTGTGTCTGCCCCATGGATGAGAGTGACCTGCACCAAGGGACAAGGTGTCACCTCCAGAGGTCACCTGGCCAAACAGGAGATGAGGCAGGCCCCTGTGGGACAGACAGCCCCCACTGGACATGGGTCCCCCAAGGCCCAGCGTGGCCCAGGCTGAGGCCAGCCCCCTCCCTCCCAGAGGCCAGTTGGGAATTAAAGTACGCGTCTTGTTTGGCAGTCAATATTATTTTTTTCTTTCCCTTCTCCTTGCCATGTTGAGTTTCTCCCCCCTTCAATCTTTCTAAACACTTTATAAGCCATAAATACAACTGAATCAGTTTAGATCAGTCGGGGTAAATGTCAAATTATCTTCTCTCTTTCTCTCTCTGGCTCTTTCTTCCCTCCCCCTCCAAATCAACAGCCTCTAATAATCCGTCCAACCCTTCATTAAGCCTTACAGTCTCACTCAGGGAGATTAAATGAATAAAGTAAAAAGGGAAAGGGGAAAAAGAGAAAAGCAGGAGCATTTATTCTCACTGTGTCTCCGACCATTTCCCTTTTCTTTTTGATTTCTACATCGCTGGCTTGAAAGCCCTTGAGTGACAGCGTCACAGGGACCAGCGAGGAAGCCGCGAGAGGCGGCAGAACTGGAAATGCCGCGGCACAGTAGGTAGAAAGTAACGTAATTATAGAGCAGGTCAGAGCCACTCGAATGAGCAAAAATAAAAGCACAGAGGTTTTCTGTAGACCGTCAGGGGAGGTGAAAAAAAAAAAAAAAATCATTGTAAACTCTTTTTCCACCTCCCCCCTCACCTCAAACCACAATTTTAAAAAGAGGTTTTTTAGTTCCTGAGAAACCCCTCTTGAAACTCCCAGCAGCCTCATGGGACAAGTTTGTCCCTGGATGTGGACCCTCTCTGCAGGGGCTGCCAGGGCAGTTGGGACAGTCCCACCTTGGGGAAGGGGATGGGAGAGTTTGTTGTGACTTGTGAGAGGAGGTGGGGGGTTCTGTGTCCTGCGTTTTCTTTGGGTTGAATACAGGGGCCAGCGGGGCTGAGGCTTGGCTTCCAAAACAGGGTCTGTTCAAGGGATCAGAGGAGATTGGTGGTCTCGTTTGGTTCAGCCCTTCCTAAGCAGTGACCCTGCATGCACGGTAAGGGGTAGCCAGCAAAAGTCTGCCATCTCCTCCTCTTCCAGGGAACTCAAGCTCCTGGTAGCTTCAGTGCCTGAGCCCTGGAGGGGCCGTGGGAGGTGTAGAGGAGGGAGGGAGATCAAGGAGGTGAAGGAGCATAGGGGTGACTTTGCAGAGAGTTCCATATGCCCACCGGCTTCAAGGCCTGGTAAAGGTCAGGGCCCAGGTCCTGAACAAGCCACCGGGGCCGTGCAGATGCAGAGACCCCCATTAGTTCTTGTAGAAAGTCCACAGTCCACAAAGAACCGGTCAGAGGTCCAGCCTCAGGGTCTCAAAGCAGTAGATCACCCTGCCTCCACCCCCCGACAACAGCTGCCAATCTCACCTCTCAAGGAGGGCCCCTGCGGGGACAGGCCACCTCCTTGTCATTGGGAACTTTGAGTCAGTGTTGTCCCAAAGCTGGAGTTCTGCACACAAGACACTGATTCAGAGGAGGACGTGACAAGGGACCCCATCCTCTCAGAGGCTGGCCTTGTAGAGTAGGAGACACCTGAGTCCACATGCCCTAGGTACTTAGCACAACTGTAATTAGCAAAGGTGATGGGTGATTGATTGCTTATGTCTGGCCCCTCCCTGTGGACACCACTCTTGCTGTTCCTTCCTTGGCACCTGGCACAGCACCTGGCAGGCAGCAAGGGCTTAATAAATGCCTGAACAAAGGAATGAGTGAATGAATAGTGTTAGTACTAGCGGGTGCTCACCATGTGCCAGGCTCCAGCTACATTATTTCACGTGGAGCCAAAAGTGACGTTGAGCGCTAACCACCATCACGCATCTCACAAGCGCGAGGCCAAGCCTCGGAGTGCACGAATACTCGCCCTGGGCTCTCTGGTGGTAGGTGGCAGGGCCAGGAGGCAAACCCCAGTCGGCCAGACTGGAGTGACGGCCATAGTTAGGAAGGTTGGAACGCCCCAAAACAGAAGGCTGGTGAGTCTGGGTGATGGAAACTCTAGAGAGGTAAAATCTCCTCTGCTGAGAACAGCAGCAGTCAACCTAGCATTTTCCATGACAGGCTGGTGGTGGGTACCCAGGTTTTAGGATGGATTAGGTGAGGTCTACCTGGTTGGACAAATGAGGGGAAAGGTGACTTAGTGGGCCAATCCTGCTGTGAATGCTGGAGGCCTCCCTGCAGCTTGAGAAATGCCTTTGTGGGGTTCCAATTCACACCCCAAGGCCTCCTGAGCCTTCAGGTCACTGGATACCATTCATACAGTCCCTAGGGCACAGCTGGTTGGACGCATATTCCATTTACAAACGGAGTGCCCTGGTTGGTAGCATTTCATAGGGCGAGTTCTGGGGCGACTGTTCCTAGCCTCCTGCCTCGTTGTGTAGCAGGGAAGAGGCTGCTATGTGCCCCACTAAGGCTCTCCAGCCTTTGGGTTGGTGCCTGGCCCAGAATAGGGTTCCCTGGGTTGTACAGAAATTAAACAGGGCCGGGCTCGGTGGCTCATGCCTGTAATCCCAGCACTTGGGAGGCCGAGGTCAAGAGATCAAGAGCACGCGGGCCAATATGGTGAAACCTCTTCTTTACTAAAAATACAAAAACTAGCTGGGTGTGGTGACGCACGCTGGCAGGAGAACCGCTTGAACATGAGAGGCGGAGGTTGCAGTGAGCCGAGTGGCACCACTGCACTCTCACTGCACTTTTGAGGCAGTGAGACTGTCTCAAAAAGAAATGAAATGGAAAGCCAACGTGCAGGGAGGGTTTAGACCCATGCAGGGGAAATGACCTGGCATCTGGGAGATGGGGCTGCTCCTGGTCCCAGCAGTCCTCCCTTCAAGCAGAGGCCAGGGCCAGACTCACCTGACAAGCTGCTTCTTTCCTTGCAGCATGAACGTTCAGGGTGACTATGAGCCAATTGATGCCACCGGCTTCATCAACATCAATTCCCTCAGGTAAGACACTCAGCCCTGACAGGCCTTCAGAGCCCCCAGGTGTAACGGGTAGGCTTTGATGGGACCTTGATTGCTGCCCTGCCCTAGACAAACCCCACTTTCCTGTCCATCTGCCCACAGCATCCTCAGAGGCATTCCTTGTTAGCCAACAGTAACTAGAGGGTCCGAGGCTTTGGGGTCCCAGGTTCCTGTGTCCCATCTGGTGCCTCTGATACTTGCCCTCCCCTCCCCCTAAGCCACAGAGACTCCACTATGAGCTCCTTTGCTGAGCAGGTTAAACAAGGAAATAGCCTAGAGGTGGAGAGAGCCTTTGTTTTCTGTCACCATACCTTAGCTGTCGTCTTAGCTGGAAGCCATCCTGGCCACGTGCATCTCCATGGCCTAGGCGGGTGGTGCATGTCATCTGAAGCCACTCAGACCTTTGGTTCTCTGGAGTCACCCGCAGGGTGTCAGCTGTACCTGTCTCACAGATGCAGCAAAGCCTGTGGAAATCAAGCATGCGGCTCAGGCTTAGACACTGGCATGCCGGAAGAGCCAGGGGCAGTGCCAGCAGCAAGCACTCTCAGCCCAGGGCCAGCGTGCTCACTGGCAAACAGGTTGCTTGTCACCAGAAGCTAACACAGACTAAGCTGCTCTGGGGCACGCGCCTAGGTTGTCTCATTTAATTCTTACACAAAATTTGCAACTCCCCGGAAATAGGCTGAGTGGTTAAGCAACGAGGAGGAGGTGGAGCTGAGACTGGAAGGACTGTCCTGGTCCTTCCTCACCAGCTCCCTTGAGGATTGGGGTGCAGAAGAAGATTTAAGTCTCTCTCTCCTCTTGCTAACAGCATGCCCTGGGCACAGAGCCACCATTTTCTCCTAGAGCCAGCCTCTTGTCCCTGGAGGTGCCTCATGCCCAGAGAGACGCCGGATCCCGCGCATCTGCCCAGGGTCCTCTCATCACCTCCACCCCCCAGCCTCCTGCACCCTCTGTTTGTATTTTATGACTCTATAAACCCTTTTAAATGGCCCAGAACACACGGGGCTTTCATAATGGCCTCTTCACGTCTCCCATTGCCAGTTAAATGCTTTGTCTTCAACAATGACAAACAACGTTCTCCCCCTAAGATAAATTAATTACATTATCCTGATTGGAGGCCAGGAGGGGCCAGGGCGGCAGAGGGAATAGAAAAAAAGACAACTTCACACACATCTTAACAAACAGCTGCCCCCGCCACCCCGGTTCTGCCTGAATTAATGGAACCCAGGGTGTGTTGTTATTGTTCATTTACATTTTTCTTTGTTTTGAATCTGGTTTACAGGCTGAAGGAATATCATCGTCTCCAGAGCAAGGTCACTGCCAAATAGACCCCTGTACAATGAGGAGCCAGGGCCGCCTCAATTTGCAGATCCCCCAAGTACAGGCGCTAATTGTTGTGATAATTTGTAATTGTGACTTGTTCTCCCCGGCTGGCAGCCTAGTGGGGCTGCCAGGCCCCGGCTTTGTTCCCTGGTCCCCCTGAAGCCTGCAAACCTTGTCGAAGGGAAGGGTGGGGGGCAGCTGCAGTGGGAAGCTATAAAATGACAATTAAAAGATACACTAGTCTTTTGTTTCTTTCTACAGAGAGAGAGAGAGAGAGAGAGAGAGAGAGAGAGAGAGAGAGAGTGTGTGTGTGTGTGTGTGTGTGTGTGTGTGTGTGTGTGTGTGTGTGTAGTTAATTATGCTTTTCTTAGCCCAACTTTTGTGTTTTCGGACTAAGTGGTTGAAGGCCACCATTTGCCAGACATCCTGGTATTCTGGGAGAATTGTCCCTTCTCAAGCAAAAACTAAGTATCCAGAATTGCCCGCCTGGGTCGGATCCTAGCCAGCAGCCTGGGAATCTGTGGCCCTGTGGCATATGCCAGGAAGCCAACAAAGTTTATAAGGGATGCATTTTGGGGACAACGCCCACAGGCCTTTCTCTGGGAACCACCTTTATTCACAACCCACAGGGAGCTTCTACACAGGTCAGCCATGAGTGACCCTAGGATACTTCCTCACCACAGATGCGTGGCCTAAAGTAGTCTAAATCATGGAGGAGGAGGGAGAGGCCTGAACAGAGGAGAAAAAAGTAAGCACAGGACTTACCACTACCTCCCTTGGTCCACACACCAGGCCCCAAAGCGGCCATATTGGTACTGTGATCCCACCCCACCCCCCATCATATCTGATTGGACCATGGATGGACACCTGACCCAAGCTAGCCAATCAGAACCCCCAGGAATTGGGCGAGTGGCCGGAAGTGAGAACATATAACACAGGTACTCACCGTGGGAGGCTGTGGACCTGGGCTCGCAGAGCAGAAAGAAAAGTATGGGAAAAGAGGGTCACAGGATTAGAGTCCCTATTCCTATTCCTGTACTTCATGAAAGCTGGTGACCATCTCTTGGCCTGGTTTCCCTGACACCTGATCTCATAATGAATTCAGGTCTCCAGCTCAGTGAGGGAGTTTCTGGTCCTTGCAACCAAAAGCATCTTCACTGGGAAGACGTTGAGTGCTGCTTGCGCTGTGATTTGTCCTGGTTCTGAACTCAGACCCTGGCCTCAGGATTGCCTGGCCACTACTCCACTGCCTGTGTCCATGAGGGGTTCTCACAAAAGAAGTTTTGCCTTTAAAACTTATTTTCCTCATGATAAATGTCCACTGTAATAATAAATATTAGCTTTGTGCCAAACACTTTGCTACACACTTTATTCACATTATCTCATTAAATCTTAAAAACCACACTATGAAGTGGACACTTTCATCTCCATTATGCAGAGGTAGCAACGAAGCCGTAGATAAATCGATTTGCCAGAACCCTTCAGCTACCCAGTGACAGAACCAAGAACCAAACCCTGGCCTGACTGAGCCCTCAAATCTTGTATGTTTATGTCTTTTTTTTTTTTTTTTTTTTGAGACGGAGTCTCACTCTGTTGCCCGGGCTGGAGTGCAGTGGCACTATCTTGGCTCACTGCAACTTCCGCCTGCCAGATTCAAGCAATTCCCCTGCCTCAGCCTCCTGAGTAGCTGGGATTACAGACACCTATCACCACATCCGGCTTTTAGTAGAGATGGGGTTTCACCACCTTCAGGCTGGTCTCAAACTCCTGACCTCAGGTGATCCACCCGACTCAGCCTCCCAAAGTGCTGGAATTACAGGCTTGAGACACTGTGCCCAACCATTATGTCTTTAACCATAGCTATAAGCTGCATCTTTAAGAAAAGAAAGAACTGGCCAGCACTTTGGGAAGCCAAGGCGAATGGATCACGAGGTCAGGAGTTTGAGACCAGCCTGGCCTCAGCCTCCCAGAGTGCTGGGATTGCAGGCATGAGCCACAACGCACAGCCATATTTGGTATATTTCTTGTGAATCCTATTTTTTTCTTCTTCTTTTTTTTTTTTCTTTTTGGCTAAACATCCTACGATGCATATACATTTTTTTCCTATGCTTATTTCTGCAGTTATTTAGGCTAAAGTATAAATGCTTTAAATTTTATAATTAGAAATATATACCTTATACTTCAAAGTATAAACTTTATATATTTATGCCTTAATGTATATACTTTGCACCCTATTTTTAAAATTTTAACGTATCATAAATGCTTTTTTATAATTTTAAACACTCAATTCTTAAGTCTGGGCACAGTGGTTCACGCCCATAATCCCAGCACTTTGGGAGGCTGAGGTGGGAGGATCACTTGATTGCAGGAGGTTGAGACCAGCCTGGCCAACACAGCGAGATCTCATCTCAATAAAAAAAAAATTAAAATACATTTTTAAAGCTTCTTAAACATTTTCAGCAATTATGTAATATTTTGTTACATTGACACTCCCTAACTTAATCTTTCCGCATTTATAGATTTAGTTTTTTCCCATATTCTAAATTATTTTTCTGCCATTTGTTGATTTTTTATTTTTTAAAATAAATAGAGTCTCACTTTGTTGCTCAGGCTGGTCTCAAACTCCGGGGCTCAAGTGATCCTCCTGCCTCAACCTCCCAAAGTACTGGGATTACAGGAATAAGCCACCATGCGCAGCCCTTTTGAATTTAATGGAATGTTTTTAATAATTGGTTATTAGCTATACATAATTATTAGTTATTGCTTTTTAGTAGCCTCTCTGGGGGTTATGCCATACGTCTTGAACTTACCATAGTCTACCCTCAATTAACAGTGTGCCACCTCGAGTGTAATGTAAGAACTTTACAACAGTACAACCTTAGACATTTCACTTTATGCCTTTGTTGTCATAGTCTACAAAATCCCATAATACATTGCTATTATTTTTGCTTTAGACACTCAAATATCACTTTTAAAAGATTAAAAATAATAATGGGCTGTGCCTATCATCCTAGCACTTTCGGAGGCCAAAGTAGGACGATTACTTAACCCCAGGGGTTCAAGGCCAGCCTGGGCAACATAGGGAGACCCCTATCTTTGCAAAAAATTTTAAAATTAGCCAAGCGTGGTAGCACATGCCTGTGGTTCCAGCTACTCGGGAGACCGAAGTGGGAGGATCGCATGAGCCTGGGAGGTAAGACTGCAGTGAGCCGTGGCCACAGCTCTCAACGCTAGCCTGCACAACATCTCGGGACTATCTCAAAAATACAAATAACAGCGAGCTGAGATTGTGCCACTGCACTCCAGCCTGGGAGACAGAGGGAGACTCTGCCTCAAATAATAACAATAATAAAGATTAAAAATAAGAAGAGCGTATATATCATTCATGCATATATTTCTTTTTCTGATGCCCTTCATTCTATTGAATCAAAGTTTCTGCATATATCATTTTCTTTCTGTTGATGAACTTTTAAAAGTATTTCTTCTAGTGAAGTAATTGATTCTTTTAGCGCTTTTTTTTTTTTTTTTTTTTTCAGATGAAGTCTCGCTCTGTCACCCAGGCTGGAGTACAGTGGCATGATCTCCACTCACTGCAACCTCTGCCTCCCAGATTCAAGCAATTCTCCTGCCTCAGCCTCCTGCAACCTCCGCTTCCCGGGTTCAGGCAATTCTCCTGCCTCAGCCTCCTGAGTAGCTGGGATTACAGGCACGGGCCACTGTACCTGGCTCAGCTTTTATTTCTTTGAAACAATTTAATGTTTCCACGTAGGTCCTTGCTGCATTCCGAGTTCATTACTGTGTAGGTCACGATTCAGGATCAAAGTTTATTCTCTGAAAATACTGATGTTTTGCTGCTCCAGCACCATTTCTTAAAAAGGCTATCTTTTTCCTATTATATTACCTTAGCATCTTTGTCAAAAATCAGCTCATTAGGCCAGACATTGTGGCTCACGCCTATAATCCCAGCACATTGGGAGGCTGACGCAGGTGGATCAGCTGTGGTCAGAAGTTACAGACCAGCCTGGTCAACATGGTGAAACCCCGTCTCTACTGAAAACACAAAAAATGATCTGGGTGTGGTGGCACAAGTCTGTAATCTCAGCTGCTCGGGAGGCTGAGGCATGAGAATAGCTTGAACCCGCGAGGCAGAGGTTGCAGTGAGCCGAGATCCTGCCACTGCACTCCAACCTGGGCTGGACGACAAAGTAAGACTGTCTCAAAAAAAAAAAAAAAAAGAGCACATGGGTATGGTTCTACTCTTGGACTGTCTACTTCATTAATGAGTGTGCTAGCTTTATGGTAAAAACTCTGACTTGTTTATTGTAGCTTATAGTAAATCTTAAACCTCATTCTTTTAAGATTGTTTTGGTTATTTTGGGTCCTTTTCCATTTTTTTTTTTTTTTTTTTAGATGGAGTTTCATTCTGCTGGAGATCGGTAGCATGATCTCGGCTCACTGCAACCTCCACCTCCCAGGTTCAAGCGATTCTCCGGTCTCAGCCTCCCGAGTAGCTGGGACTATAGGCACATGCCACCACACCTGGCTAATTTTTGTATTTTCACCATGTTGGCCAGCATGATCTCGATCTCATTATCCACCCTCCTCTGCCTCTCAAAGTGCTGGGATTACAGGCATAAGACACGTACCTGGCCTTTTTTTTTTTTTTTTTTTTCCCTCCTTCATTGAGAGGGAGTCTCACTCTGTCTCCCAGGCTGGAATGCAGCAGTGGTACCATCTTGCCTCACTGCAGCCTCTGCCTTTCGGATTCAAGTGGTTCTCCTGCCTCAGCCTCCTGAGTAGCTGGGATTACAGGCGTGCACCACCACGTCTGGCTAATTTTTGTATTTTTAGTAGAGACAGGGTTTTACCACATTGGCCAGGCTGGTCTTGAACTCCTGACCTCAAATGATCTACCCACCACAGCCTCTCAAAGTGTTGGGATTATAGGCATGAGCCACTGCACCCAGCCCATACACATTTTTAAAACAAATTATTCATTTCCTCAAAACATCTGCTAATATTTCATTGAAATTGTATTAAAATGGATTCATCTGAAGAGAATTGTCATCATTAGTCCATTTGCATTGCTATAAAGGAATGCCTGAGACTATTTATAAAGAAAAGAGGTTTATTTTGGTTTATGGTCCTGCAGGCTCTACAGGAAGCATAGTGCTGGCATTTGCTCCTGGTGAGGCCTCAGGAGGCTTCCAGTTGTGACTCTTGGAAGTTTCCAATTATTGTAGGTGAAAGGGG